CCAGAACAGAACTTCTCTGAGATACCTCCCTGAAGTAGCTACAGCGTGGATGTCTGTTTCTCACACGCTGGAGAGACACAGCTCTGCAGGTTTGTCATGAGCCTGTGCAACTTCCTAACACACACATACACACACATATATGCACACACAGCCCGCACAGGCGGGCAGGGGACACGGGGCAGACTGTCACAGCAAACTACGTGGTAGAGGTGACGTCATGCTCGGCGTGGCTGGTCTTATATAGCAAAGAGGTTACACGGGAGACTTGCGACTGCCGACTCCCAAACCTGAGAAGAAAAGGCCAGGCCAGCTGAGAGACCACCAAACCTCACCCATCCCTGCAGCTGCGAGCGCCAGGCGAGGCCCTGGGACGCCCACCGAGGCCGCCCAGCCTAAGGCCCGAGTACTGAGGCCCTCACTGGGCCAAAAGTGTCCCGCTCTGCGGCCTGCTCACACCACCAAGCGACACAAAGGGGTCCCGGCTCTTCCCTGCCAAGGACCGCGACCCCGGACGCCGCTGGTCCCGGTGGCACGGCCGGGACTCGCCCCCGTGCCCAGCCCCGGGCGCCACCCTCGCCCCTCCTGCGCTCCCGCTGTGGGAGGGTCCCGTCCTTTCCCCTCCCCACCCCCCCGCCCTCGTTGGTTCCGCCCGCGCCGGTGCCCGGCACAGCCCGGTTGGTTCGTTCCGCCCCTCCCCGTCCCCGGCACTTGGTTTATCCCGAGCCCCTCGCCCTGTCGCCTACAGCGGTCGCCCCGGTCCCGCTTCTCACCCAGGGACATGTCGATCTTCTCCACGCTCTCGCCGCCGCCGTGCCGGGCCCCCGCCGCGGCCGAGGAGCCCGGGAGCGGTGCCGCAGCCCCGAACGCGTTCATGGCCGCCTCCCTCAGACCGAACCGCCCCCAGTCGGGCCCGCGCATGCGCAACAGCTCCGCCCAGCCCAGCGCACAGCCGCCCGCGCCGGGGAGCGGCACAGCGCCCCTCTGGCACGGCGCCTCCTGGCGGCCGGGAGGAGCAGGTACAGCGGGCGGGGGGCGATGATGCCGGGGGGCGATGATGCCGGGGGGCGATGCCCGGGGAGCGATGCCGGGGAGCAATGCCCGGGGGGCGATGATGCCCGGGGGGCGATGATGCCCGGGGAGCGATGCCTGGGGGGTGATGCCGGGGAGCAATGCCCGGGGAGTGATGCCGGGGGGCGATGTCGCCCGGGGGGCGATGATGCCCGGGGGGCGATGTCGGGGGGCGATGCCGGGGGCGCGGGTTGGGGGGCGATGTCGCCCGGGGGGCGATGATGCCCGGGGGGCGATGCCGGGGGCGCGGGTCCCGTTGGGTGCTGGCGGCCGCTTCCAGAAGCGGCTTCTCCGGGGACAGTGTCCTTGGGAGGAGTGAGGGGCACATCCTGGGCCCGGGGAGTGGCGGGGGGCGCTGGGAAGCAGAGCTGGCGGCAGGGTGCAGGGGCCGGGGGACACGGCAGCTGTGCTGTAGGGACAGAGTCCTGGGCTGGCTGCAGACCTGCTGGGTGCTGAGAGGGGTCACAGCGCTGGTTGGAAGCATGGAGCAGCTCTCCTAGAGGCTGAAAGATTTGGGGGTTTTCAGCCTGGAGAAGAGAAGGCTCCGGGAGATCTTATTACAGACTTCCAGTACTTGAAGGGGCCTCTAGGAAAGATAGGGATAGATTTTTCAGCAGGGTTTGTTGCAATAGGACAAGAGGTGATGGCTTTAACCCGAAAGAGGGTCAATTTAGACTGGATATAAGGAGGAATTTTTTTTTTATAATGAGATTGCCCAGGGAGGTGGAGGATGCCCTATCTCTGTAAACACTCAAGGTCAGGGTGGATGGGGCTCTGAGCAGCCTGATCTAGTTGAAAATGTCCCTGCTCATGGTAGGAAAGGTCAGACCACATGACCTCTAAATGTCCCCTCCAATCCAGCCATTCTGTGTTCCAGGGCAGGGAAGGGTGTTCAGCTGAGAAGTTGATTATGAGGTGACCCCCTTTGCCTGTGACCCCCATGCCATTGAAATAATCTGTTCTGTGAACAACAAAACCAATGCACAGTGGTTTTGAGCACAATTACGCTTCCAAATGTCAAACAGCAGAGTTCAAACTAGGTTCTTATTTCAAAATACCATGTAAAGCTTAAAATTACTACTTAAACCCAGAACAACGTGTCCATACTTTTTTCTCTTTGGATTCTTTTCAGAGTTGTTATCTTTGCTAGTTTTTGGTCAGAATCATGTGATTGAGAAATTCAGAAGATAAATTGTTTTTATTAACAAGGAATCTAGCAAAGCCTTTCCCTGCTCCCTGTATATTTGCACTCTTTGGAGCTGTGGTGTTGGTGGGTCAGCAGTACGTACACATGTGCCTAGTGGGCAGCTGGCTGCTGCTAAACAAGGTACATGTAAAAGGGCTTTTTTACACAACAACACTTTGTTCACTTGACACTCTATTACAATTAAGGGATAGTAATTATCTCTGGAATCTCCACATCTTGCTCGTGGTTGGTCGAAATTGGTCACTGAGTTCCAGAGACAGAAAAGGAAGGAGCAGATGGACTGACAAGGTGATCTCAGAGGACGAACTTCCTGCAGAAGCTGGGCAGTAAATGCTGAAAGGAAAACCCACATCTCTTTCTCCTGCTCACAACGGTCACCTGGCATTACCAAGTTTTCTCTGGGAGCTGTGCTGAGGCTGCTGCCCTAAAGGTGACATGACCAAAGGACAGCTTGTTTTAGGGTCTGCCTGCTTGCCTCCAGAGGGGGAGCTCCACACCGGCCCTGCAGGGACCGTACTGCAAATGCCCTTGGGTAGGGATCATTATTTCCACACATGACCTTGCACACGCCTCCTCCCAGCAGGAACACTCCCACATTTCTTTCCTTGCCCACACATTCCATATGTGCATTTGCAAAAATAAACACTCTGTGGCGAGGGCAAAATCCCGAGAACCTGACCCACAATGAGCTCTGGTGCCTGTGATCCCTGTCACAGCTCTGTGCTGCTGTGCTGGGAGCTACCTGCACTGAAATACTGTGCAGGGTTTAAGAATGGCAGAGCTTTCTAGGAGTGTAAGGCAAGAATAAGAGCAGTGAGTTTAGGCTTTCTGTCCTCAGCTGTGTCCTGTACTACAGACTGTTGACCAGGCCTTGCTCTCTCCATTTACACTCTTTATCCATCTCTTTTTAAATAAGGCAAAAAATGTGTTTCTGAATGTTCCTCTTGCTGCTTCCTATTGTCTAGAAGAGAATGGCTCAGTTGCTGTCACAGGACACCTCCAGCTAGTGAGAGATTTTCCCTTCAGGCAGGAGAAACTCGTGACCACAGCTGGAGGCTGACAGTTCCACCCTGACTTCTCCTCTGTGTTCTCCATGGGCAGCAGAAGTTCAGACACGGAGTTTTGGACCCACAGATTAAAAAACTTTTGATAACATTTTCCTTCAGGTGAGATTGGATGACAAGTGATTGATGATGAGTAGGAGGTTCTTATAATCAGGCTACATTTCTAAAGCAAATATGCTATTGACAGATTAGCACGAACTACTAAAAATAGAGGTGCCAAAAGATGTATTTTTGAAAAAGCATTAAGTCAAATTCCCATGAGGCTGTAGGGTCCAGCTCCATCTGGAGACTGTGTCACACCAATAAACAAATGCTCTGTTTACCCCAAACAAACACATGAACTGCAAAGGTGGCAGATGCTACCTGTCCTCGTGATAAGTGGAAATCAGACAAAATCCAGATTTTACAATATCCATGAGTTGTGTTTATTATACAAACAGGATGCCAGCTGTCTGCTGCTCAGCACAACAGAAAACCAGGCACAAGCTGTGATCCTGAAGAGTATTTTCTCTGTTCAAAATGGCTGGGGATCACAAAGGCAACCATGCAAACATCAGCTCTTGGTTTGCTGTGTGGCTGTTGGGAGTGTGTCAGCATCCAGCCAAGGGACAAAGCTTCCACGTGGCACTGAGAGCTACAAAGAACTAAATTAGATCTGTTAGCTTTATCTGCTTGCTCCATTTCACCAGGCATGATCATCTAACAATCACAATAGTCCGGATGACTTGATTTCCCCCAATATGTTCACTGTGAGAGTCAGCACAGTCTGAGACCTAACGTGCCATGCACAGGCAGTGGTTTCAACCAGTGCAGTGGGCTCTACAAGAGGAATTTCTGCCTGATGACTGGACACAAGTTGTTGTTCCACACTTGTATACAATTATGATGCATGAGGAGTCCTGGTCTCTTCATTAAGCACGTTCTGAAAAATACATTATTATTATTATCAAGAACAGCAGCACAGAACCTTGGACCCCCGTGCTGCAGAAATACTGTACTGGTAAAATAAACCACAGAGAAAATGTAACGTCAAGGGGTGCTTTTTCACGTATGCAGCATACAGTTATCATTTCAAGTAACAGTTATAGAGAATTTCCATTTTACAAATGCCTGGCTTTGGTTTCAGAGGCATCACACAACTCCAGAGACGTATCTAGGTTTTATTTCTGACAATAATTTGTCATTGACTATTCTCAGTCGAAAGCAGCATCACTTTTTCCCATTTGAAGTTTCATTTCACGGCATTTGGTGGAAGGCACATCTTGCTCTGCTGTATTTTTCACACCCTCCTTACAGTGGGCGGTAGAGCAGGGCCCTCTCTCCGTTTGTCTCTGCAGGCGTGATCAGCGCGTGAGCTGTCCCTCTGGGACACGTTGTTTGCTTGGTTTGTTTTCCTTGCCATCGCGTCTTCCTCATCCCGTCCAAGGCAGGATTTGGCGAGGGTTATTTCAGCAATCATTGTGCTTTTTCTCGGGGGACACCGAAAGCTCCGGGGCTGGGGAAAAAACTGCAGCGGACAGCCCGTCATGGCGCCCGAACGCCGCGGTGCACGCTGGGAGCTGTAGTCCGCCGCGCCGCTGGGTTCTCCGGGGGACCGCGGTGCGCGCCGGGAGTTGTAGTCCGTGGGTGCGGCGGGGCGTGGCGGGCGCTCGCCCCTCCCGCGTGACGGTGTCGCGGTGGCGGCGGCGGCGGGGCCGCGCGCGCCCGGGATGGAGATCGGGCCCCACGCGGGGCACGCGGAGAGCAGGTGGGGCCGCGCGCGGCGGGACACGCGCGGGAGAGCCGGGTGGGTGCGGGGGGCCCGGGGGCACGGCCCGCGGGGGCGCCCGTTGGAGGCGGGACACGGACATGGACACGGGCGCGGGTGTGGCAGCGGGGGTGCGCCCGGGGGCGGCCCGGTGCTGTGCGTGCACGCGTGGGGGGCCGCACTCGTGTGTGTGTGTGTGTGTAAGTGTGTGTGGGATGTGCGTGCGGGAAGGCGGGCGGCGGCAGTGGCAGCAGTCGGGATGCGCAGGGGATGCTCCCGGAGAGCTCCCGTCCTGCGCGGGGGTGTGGGGGGCGCGGGTGTGGCAGCGGGGGTGCGCCCGGGGGCGGCCCGGTGCTGTGCGTGCACGCGTGGGGGGCCGCACTCGTGTGTGTGTAAGTGTGTGTGGGATGTGCGTGCGGGAAGGCGGGCGGCGGCAGTGGCAGCAGTCGGGATGCGCAGGGGATGCTCCCGGAGAGCTCCCGTCCTGCGCGGGGGTGTGGGGTACCTGGGGGCGAGCAGGGAATGAACGGACTCCTCGTGAGTGGGATCGCTGCTTGCGGAGCAGAGCGTGACCCTGCCCCCGGCTCGGTCCCTCGTGGGAGGGAGCACAGTGGGCCGGGCTGTCAGAGCCGTCACCCACCCGAGGCCACACATCGCTCTGCTCGCTGCCGTGGGAAGGAATCTTGGCCCCTGCAGGGGCAGTGACGGCCACAGATGTGGCACCTCAGTGCCTGGTGCTCTGTCCCCACTCTGTCCCCCATCAGCCATGGCCAGCACGGCAGCTGCCAGCTCTCTGCTTCACACGCCTTGAGCTGAAGGGTGAAACCACCCCGCCCTAACGCCGTGCTGCCGCCCTTCAGGTGGCTCTGCAGCTTGCTGCTCTGGCATCCTACCTCCTGTCCTTCCTGGCAGTCGTCTGCATCCCCTCTTCTGGGTGCTGAACAGAAATTTCTTTATTTATCTCTTTATTCCTGAAGGCGAGGCCCTGCACCTGCACATGGCTGGTGGTGAGCACGGTGACCTCGGCTGACTGGTCTTCATGTGTGCTTCAGGCCTGGTTTTTTTGTTAGCATTTATGAGCAGCAGAGGCTGTTTACTGGAGGTGTTTTGATGGAGAGTCCTATTTACTTCAGGTTTTTACAGGTGCATTGGTTTTGCCCTGGCACTCACAGCACAGGGTGAATGTTGGATGGAAATTGGAGGTGTTGGCTGGGGAAGAAGGAGCAGCTGAAACTTGATATGGGAGAGAAGCATTCCTTATCTAAGGGGCTCAGCCAGTCACTCTATTCCTGCTTGCCATATCAGCTGGGAAAATGCTACTGGTGCTTTTAAAGCTATAGCACAGGTTTGGGGTGCCTTCTGAGCTGCACAGTTCGAGCTGTTCTCCCTCTTTTCTAATGCTTCAAACTCAGCAGGTTCCAAAAGGTAAAAGGAATTGACTGCATTCGCTGTGTTGTCTTTCCAGGCTCATCTTTGTGCATTTTCTTGCCTTTGCAAGCACAAGTCCTGCACTACCAGACTCTGCCATCGTGTGACTAATAGGGCTGGGGTGGTGCCACCCCCAGCACTCCCCCAGGGACAAGGAGGGCATCATCCCCCACTGGTGCTGGCACACGCGGGAGCCTGCTTGTTCTCCTGGCTGGCACTGATGCCTTGGGGAGGATCCAGCATGGATCTTACACTGCCTTGTCCTTTGTGTGATGTGGTTAGCATTTTTATTCCCATGAGGTGCCATTTCACACTGGATTGTGGGAGTTACCAATAGGGAATAGACAGAGATCACTGGATCCATCTTCCTGTGGATTACAGAAAATGCAGAAGCAAAAGTTATTTTGCTGAAGTCCATCCTTGAGCCAGCACAGGAGAGGAAAATGAGGATCTTGTGCTGGATTTTTCCTCCTAGCAGCAGGTCTGAATGCATCAAGTGGCAGGGCTGTCATGCCGCTGTCCAGGGAGGACATTGTCCTTGGAGGCAGGAGGGTTAGTGCGGTCCTGCTGGGCAGAGATCAGGGCTCTGGGGGTGGTGCAGGGGACACAGCAGTCCTAGGGGGAGCAGATGGGCCAGTGGTCAGCTGGGCAGGTTACCAAAGAGCTGCCACCTTTGTCTCTGGCACCAGGAAGACCCTCAGGGACAACAGGGCCAGAGGAGAGGGTTCCTAAAGGGAACCTGTGCTGTGAGCAGTGGAGGGATGTGAGCAGCTGCTCTCAGGGGAGTGGGCTGCTGTGAGGATCTGCTCTGCCTGTCACTGCCTCTGGCTGCCTGCATGCTTGTCACAGGCAGGTCCTGTGCAGATTGAAGCCCAGTGGACAGTACCCTGGGTCCACAGGTTGTGGTCATCTGCTTGTGAGAGACTTAGCCGGATGAGCAGGTGAGCCATCTGCCATGGGAAGGTTTAAAAACACCTTTAATCCCTAATTTCTTCCCTCATCCTTTGCCAGTGCAGAGCAAGAATGCATCAGCAGCGGCTCCTTTGGGCTGTTTGCTGGGGGCATCTTTTGTGGTTGTGCCCCCATTTTCTATCAGTGCCAGCTTTTAGCACGGATGCGAGTTACCCTGCGTGTCCCTTCTCCAGCCAGCCCGCTCAGCTATTCCTGCCCATCCCTGCTGGGCTGGCAGAGCTCTTTCTTCTGCCTTCCTCCGCCTGTCAGCCACTCCCCGCGACTGCAGATGAATTGCACGAAGCCTGCTTTCTTTAATCCCTTTTCCCAGCAGTGCCGAGCCTGCGGAGGAGCAGGCGGGGGAGTCCAGGGAAGGGGCTGCTGGTTGTCTGGGAGATGTGGGGACAGCGAGGCGGGAGCAGGCTCTGCGCAGGGCAGCTTCTGGGGAGTCTGCAGGAGGAACTGACAGCCAGCACAGCAATGAGTGTCCTTGGAGATTTGTTAGAAGTCCCTCTATAACCTCAGCATCCTCAGCCCAACCTCTTCAGTGTGCTAAGGAGGATCAAGAGAGTCTTCCAGGTGGAGGTCAGGATTCAAGCAGCCATTGCTGGGTGCCTCCTGCAGAGCACAGGAGGTACACAGCAGATGATGTTTGCAAGAAAGATGAGCTTCGTTTTTATTTTTCATTTGTGAACACTGGCTACCTGTGTGATTCTGTTTTGGAAAGTAACCAAGGTTTGGTTTTATTTTAAACTAAGAAGTCAGCAGCATGGCTCCCTGCCTCTGCTGTGAGTCACGTTTGCTGACTTGGACCAAGAGAAATTCCTACCCTTGCTGGCATGGAGGGGCTGAGGAAGCCTTGGAAGTGCAAGCAGCATTCCCTGGTGTCAGCAGTGGCAGCATTAAGCCATTTTTTGCTACAAGGCTGTATTCTGTGTTTTATCCCTCCAGTGCAAAGAGCTCAGTTATGTTTGGGACAGTTCCCAGTGGTAGGTTGATGTTGCTGTACTTGAAGATGGAGTTTGTTGTGGTGAAGACAGGAGACCCAGTGCCATGTTTGTGGAGCTGGTGGTTAAAATTGGAGGCTGGATCAGAGGTTGTCTCTGAGGGAGGAGAGGGATGTAGCTGAGATCTCACTGCTGCTCCATGGGCCCTGCAAGTACCCTTGGCCCTTCTGGCTGGGGGGACCAAGCTCTGCTGGATCAGGAGAGCAGAAGCATGTGTGGTTCTTGCAGGGGAAGCTCTGGTCTTGTTCTGTGCCCTCTGGGATATTATAGACTTTGCCCTTAATTTAAGTTGGGGTATTCTCATGATGTAGTATGAATTGGCCTTACCCCATGCCAGGCTTCCTACAGCACTAGCAAAGGAGAATTCTCCTTATTCAGAAAAAAAAGCAGATTTCCTAGTAGTGCTCTGAACACCAGAAGAAAAGGGAACTTGGGCTTTCTCCATCCCTCCTGGCATCTGAAGCCAAGGCTCTCTCAGTGGGAGGGGAGCAAACCCTGCTGCTAATTCAGGGTTGCCCCAGAGTCCAGTCAAAGCTGAATGTGGTTAGCTGTGCTCTCTCAATTTCCCTGCCACCTGCAGCCAGCTATATGGGTCCTCCTGTCTTCAGCCTTGTGTCTCTGTGTGCTTTTCAGCATGTTCCAGCCCAGAAACAGCTGGGGGTTGGGTATCAGAAAGGTCTTGTGTGTCCAGCTTGTGAACTGCTTTGAGCCAACAAGTCCCATAGGATACTTACTGTCCTACCAGGATTTAATTCACTTTTGGTGGGTTCAAGATCACTTCTGCAAAGGTGCTTTAATTATGTGGCTTATTCTCTGTGTGCTTCTGTGTTCAATGTTTTAACTTTCCGAGATTATTTTGTTCAAGGATTGCTTGCCCTTAGTTTCCCCATGCTAGGAAAGAGCCATGGATCCTGGTTTCTGCCTCTTGAGATGCACAAGTCCTTTAATGAGATTGACCATTCATTTGGAAAGGCACATCCCTGCATGTGCTATCCTCACATCCTTGTGTGCATCACCTGCTTTTTATAGCATGAAATAACATGGGAGGGAGTTCCCCTGACTCACTGACTGGAATATCAGTGGCGTGGCTGAGCTTTCACTTGCATTTCCTAACTCTGAGTGTTAGAAATACCTTAGGGAGGAGCTGCTGACGTTCTGAGCTCAGTGGTTGCAGGTGCTCTTTGACCAGGGACTGCTGATTCCTCTCTGGGCATCCACAGCCAAAGAACATCTGCATTGCCCAGGGCAGGGATGGGAAAAGCCCACAAATTCAGTAGAGCTGGATCATTTTTTTGTGTCTTCCCAAGCTGTATCTCCTTCAGGAAGCTGCCTTTGATTTACATCTGTGCATTTTTCTTCAGTCTCTTCTGAGATAAAGCCCCATGACTATTAGTTTAAGTACAACATGAACGTACACATGCTGCCACGTGTGCTGCAGGGCTGGTTTAGAGCTCTGGTGCTGTCAGGGTGACAGGCTTTGCTGGTGGGATGGGCTGGCTTCTGTGTGGTTTAAGCTTAGGTGGGCACTGGAAGTGATGTTTCCCTCATGAGGAAGTGAAGTGAATGGGCAGCTTGAGGTAGAGCCAATAATTAATGATTAATTAATCTGCTTGTACAACTAATCAGCTTGGCAGTAGTGAACAAGACTCAAAAAGAGAATATTGGTGAGAAAAGCTTTGTTTTAATTACCAGGAGTATGCAGCCCACACTTTGAGCCCCAAGGGATGAAAATTCGAGCAGTTTTAAATAATGTTATTTATTTGTTTTCCTTATTTTTCTCCTTGTGCTTTGGAAATTCAGTTTGGTTTTGGCTGTGGGAAGGACTAACTTCTGAAACACCATCTTGTTTCTTGCCAGTTGAAAACTTGAACCTTCATGCCTTAGTATCGGTTAGGGTGCTTTTGTTACAAACCTTGCAGAGACTTTTTTTTTGTTATTTACACTCCTAACTGTACCTTGCAACATTCCTGTTCTTCTGAGAGAGTGGCTCCTATTTGAATATGTGTTTTTGACAGCTGCTGTTCATCTGGCAACATTGTCAAGCAGCTTGAGTGGGAACCTCAAGTCACCCAAAGCTTCCTTCCCCAGAGCTGCTTTTCCATAGTCAAATGATGTTGCCTCTCTACACCATTGCTCCTGCTTTGTGGTAGATGATGGTGATTTCTTGCTGTATGCAGGGCAGCCAAGGGGGATGATACTGATGAAGTGTTGTGCATACTCTAGAGCTCACCAGAAGTTTGCTAATCTCTGCCCATAAATAATAATGTTTTTGCAGATTGTGCCTACAGCAGGTCAGGGCCAAGAGAGCGGCTGCACAGCTGGAGATGCAGATGAAGTGTCACCTCCCTGGGAGAGGAGCACCTCTGCATCCTGACAGGACTGGAGCTCTCTGTGATGTGCATTGCTCAGGAAGTGCTGCCCTGTAAACACAGGGTTTGCTCAGTGTGGTGGCCCTCACACCCTTCCATACAGCTGCTGTGCTCCTGAGGGGCTGCTGCTCTCTTAGAGAGAGCACATCAGTGAAGCAAGAGCCTGCTAGAAAGTTAATCTCCCGTATTTTTGGCCCAGACTGGGCACGTGGTGCATTGCAGGAGCCATCAGTCTGTTCTGTCTGTCTCCTGCTGGTGGCTACCACTCATCAGGAGAATCATTGCAATATGGCCTGTTGTCCACAAACCATGTATGGGAGGCCACAGGGATGCACTAAGTACTTCAGCTCACCTTTGCAAGTTTCTGGACCACCAAAGGTTTCAGCCTGATCAGAGTTTCCTTCGAGAGAGTGCAATACCATGTTCCTACTGTGAAGTTCCTCTTGCTGTATCTCTGATATATCTTGCTGTGTTCCTGTGCAGGAAAGAGCACTGGAAGCTCCTTGGCAACTTGAAGACCACAGTGGAAGGTTTGGTGTCCATCAGCAACCCAAATGTCTGGTCCAAGTATGGAGGCTTGGAGCGGCTCTGTAGAGACATGCATAGCATCCTCTACCATGGGCTCATCCATGACAAGGTATGGCTCTGTCCTGCCAGCACGACTGTCTGTCTGTCACAGCCTCAATGCCTGTGAGCAGGCAGGTGCTGCAGCTCACTTCTGTGCTCATAGCAGAGTGGGCTCAGTGCTTGTAATAGGCTGGGCAGTGATCCAAGCAGGGGCTGAGCTTGCCTGGTAAATGCTGTGGTTGTCAGAGGGACCTGGGTGCACGTTCTTTCTATCTCACCTACTTTCAGTATGGTTTTTCTAAGTACTTGTGCCCCCTGTGCTGAGGCCATCCCCTCTCTCTTTTCTTTCTGCTGCAGCCAAGCGATTAAATTGCATTTGCAGTGAGTCAGCCCCGTATCATCTGCACTTGGACAAGTCCCCAGCGAGGGCTGGCAAGAGAAACCTCGCATCTTCACTGTTTCTGCTTAGCTGTGTTAGTAACAGGAGCTGGCAGCCAAACCCGCGCTCTGCGTGAATGGGATCACTCTTTCCAGGCTCTTGTTGTGCCTGCAGTTGCTCACCCAGCCTTCCCCCCTTGCATGGCTGCCTGGAAGAATTTCTCTTTCCCACTTGTGTGCAGGGGCTTAAAGATCTCCCCTTCAGCTTGCAATTACCAGAAAAATTTATTTACAGTGGAAAGCTGAACAAGGCTGTAGGGCTTCCCTGGGGATGTCCCATCAGTGGCTCTGCCACCCAGAGAGAAGAGAACAGCACAGAGGAGCCCCAGGCAGCTTGCATGGGCCAGCTGGGTCCCAGATCAGGAAAACTGCACCTATGCAGTGCTGCACCCAAGCTGAAAAACTTCCAGGAAGAGCCAGAGTGGCAGGTTGTCTGAGCAGGAAGCTTTGCTCCCTGGGTTTATTAAGTTTGCAGACAGCATTAGCTGAGGTGCTGCTCTGTTCCTGTTAGTCCCCAGCTGCATGGACCAGGGACCTGCCCTGGGAGATGGACAGAGAGAGGAGCTACCTTGTCCATGTGAGGAGTGCAGTGCTCCCTTCTGACAGACCTGCTATTCACAGGCTTCAGGAAGTGAGGTTTAAATGATTTACACTAGTCTGTCTGTTGGTAGCAGTTCATGCCAGACCTGCAAAGCAGGATGGTGTGTTACCTTCCTCAGTGCTTTTACTGTAGGCAAAGACAGCTCTTCCACTCAGGAATGTCTCCTCTGATCAGGCATGTGTGACACCAATCAAGCTATAGGAGTTGCAAAAGGAGGCCCATAAAAATACAGTTTCCTAACAGCAGTTGGCTCCTAGTTGCTCCAGCAAAACATTTCCATTTACTTTTTATTTTCTTGGCAACTTTTTTGCCTGCAGTTGGGAATTTAAAAAAAAAAGGTGAAAAAATCCATATGTACACATTAAGAAAACTAGGGTAAGAGGTTTTTAAACTTCTGAATTAATTTTGTTTGTCCAGAAAACCAAATTCAGTCTAGAAAACTAAAATTGCCATGTTAGTTTTCTAGTCTTATAAAACAAACTGCTTCCCCCACCAAACCAAATAAACCACCAAAACAGAAGCCATTCCCCTGTCACTTGTGAAAGAGGAAATAGGGATGGAAGTAAAAATAATTAGCTTTTTGGTGAAGAGACACTTTTTGGGTCTGTGCTTACAACCAATAGGGTGGAGAGGAAAACAGAAACTCTGTTGCAGTTCCTCTCTAAGGGGAAGAATAACTAAGAAAACCCTTTACTGTCTGAATAAAGCTGAGGCAAACAGCATGGCCTGTGTCAGCAAGGGACTGACAGGAATGTGCTGATTTAACTGGCACTTGGGAGGTGACACCTGACTGTCCTGTCCTGGGCAGGTGTGCTGCAGACAGAAGGATTACTGGCAGTTTGTGAAGGACATTCGCTGGCTGAGTCCGGGCTCTGCTCATCACCTGGAGAAGGTGGGTTCTGCTGGGGTGGCCTTGTGTGCCCACTGGGAGGGGAGAGGGCAGCTGGGCTGGAGCCTCACCCGTGGGACAGTGCTGCCTGGGCTGCTGTGAGTAAAGCTGCATGGCTTGTGGAGGCTTACACAGCCGTGTTTTTGGGTACAAGCTGTGTCCTGGGAACTCAGTGTGGCTTGGGCTGAGACAATTGGCTACTTATTTCTGCCAGGCCAGTTTCCAGTGCTGCTGGGCTGGGTGCAGCAGGCATCACCAAGAGAACTGGCACAAGCAGTGCTTGTGTGTGCACTGGGGTAATTCATTTGTCTGTGCAGATCTCTAAGGGTCTGGGCTGTCCTGTTTCTGGGTTTTAGCTCCATCATGCATTTATTCTCCCATTCCTGACTTGTGCCAGCCACTGGCATATGACTCCTGGTCCTCAGCTGCCCTGTGCTGACATCCATGGTTCCTGCCATGGATGGGCACAAAGGGCTGGCCATTTGTGCCAGCCCCTTTTGGACAAGGGAACACCAGTGTCCAGCCTGCTGCTGGGGGAACAGGAGTGTAACTCCAGTCCAGCTCTGCAATCTGCAGCAGCTCAGGCATTGCCACAGCCTTTTCCAGTTAATGTGTCAGCAGGAAAATGACCGTCACCGCTGGGGTCAGATTGGATTTGGGAGCGTGGGGTTGCTCCAGGTCAGGGACAAGGCTCATGGGTGGGAGAGTGTGCAAGAGAAATTCATTGTACTGGTGGCTGTCAGAGGACTTTGATCACTGGCTGACCTTTGAAGCATTGTTCCTGCCTGGTGCTTTTGTCTCCCTGGTGGCTGAGGAGCTGCTGGGACATGCCCTCTTTCCTGCTGACAGTGACTGGCATGTGAAAGCTGCTGTTATCAAGGGGACCAAAGCCACGCGGTAGAACAAGCCCTGTTCCCCTTCTTGCCTCTGCCTGCCTTAACCTGTGCCTGCTGTCCTTTTCCAGTTCATCAGCCTGCAGGAGAGCGGCCAGCGTGACCCCGAGGGCCCAGGGGACCAGGCCATTGCCCAGCTGTGGCTGCAGCACAGCCTGCAGTGCCACTGCCTGTCAGCACAGCTGAGGCCGCTCCTGGGGAACCGGCAGTACATTAGGAAGTTCTACACAGGTAAGGAGCAATGGGCCTTTTCCTTCTTACTAGGAAAATATCTAGCTGGTGGCATTTCCAAGCTGTGTAGGAGTGAGGGAGGACAGCAGAAAAATTGGTTTGCATGTGAGCAGCTGGTGTGTCAAACTGTGTGGGTGAGAGGGGCTCCCCTGAGCAGCATCTTTTTCTGCCCAGATACTGCCTTCCTGCTCAGTGACGCCCACGTCACGGCCATGCTGCAGTGCCTGGAAGCTGTTGAGCAGAACAACCCCAGGCTTCTGGCTCAGATCGACACCTCCATGGTGAGTTGAGGTCCCAGATTTTACATCTGGCTCTCCCCAGATGCCAACTGGCTGTGGCTGCTCCCTCAAGGTCACATTCAGAGTATGTGGAACCCTTGGACAAGCAACTGAACTTGGAACTAGTAAAAGTTGCTCCAAGAGGGGAGGAGAATGGGGAACTGGTCCTTGTCCTGCCTGTGTGACCTGTAAGGGGTCAGGGTGGGGAAAATGGCTGTGTGGAGCCTGTAGTGGAGCACCTTGGTTCAGGCTTGCACCAAGGATTTGAGTAAAGGACCTGAGGACCAGTTCCATGTAAGAGGCACCTTTAAAGCCCTCTCCAATAGTCCCAGGCTTCAGAGCCAGCACACAGAGCTGCCTGTTCATGAGGAACAGTCACACTCTCGAGGGGATGGGCGATGCCCCAGGACACCTGGGTGCCAGCTCCTGCTCATGCCAGTGACGCCCTGTGCAGCCCTGCACCAGCTGCCCTGTCTCCAGAGGACAGAAACAGCAGCTGCCTTCTTTGCACAGAGTCCCCAAAAGAGAGCAATTAGCGAGGCTTTGTTAAATGGGGGCTGTGTTCTTTCAGCTGGCCGGCACGTCACTGCCATCCCTGTGCGCGTCAGACCCTGCTGCTGGGACAAGAGACATGTGTGATCACAGTGCTGAGGGACACAAGAGCCGTGTGCCAGGAGCGCTGGGCTGCCTGGATCATTTCACTGAAAGCCTGGTAATGGGCATGGGAATCTGTCCTGCAGCTGTGAGCAAAGAGTGGCTTCCCTTCTGTGCTACAGTGCTTTTCCCTCCCCACCCTCGTGTTCCCAGGGCTGCCGCATCATTTGTGGTTGGTCACCAGGCAGTTGCAGGTTGATCCCTTTCTGTTGCGGCTCTTTTGACATGTAGCCCCGTAGATGCTGATTTATTGATGATGCCACCTCTCTTCAGCTTACCAGGAAGAGTGACAATCCTTCTCCAGTGACCAAGAGTCAGAGCCTGACTGCCCTCCCTGCATCCCCGTGCGTCCCTGCTGCCCCCTACACTCAGCAGCGCTGCTTTGGGTCCTTCTCCAGCCTCCAGCATCCAGCCTCCTCTGGCCTCTCAGGTATCAAGAGTAGGCTGGGGAGCTTAGTGTAGGCCCAGAAAAGACTTAACTTTTCTATCTGCCTATGTATCTGTTGGTGTGGATGGGCATGGAAGACTTCTGCCCATGATGGGAGGGAGGGATTTGCCTGTGGTGGGTGGGCTTGTTGGCGTGAAGCCACGAGCTTATAACCATAGGATACAGGAGACATCCTTGTGCCAGTGTGTGAAATCATGCTCCTGCCTCTGTCCAGACAGGAGACCAATGAGTTCCTGTGGCAGCTCCAACTCCAGCCAGCCCCAGGAGCACTGCCCGTCCACCCGGTCCTCCTCCTTCAGCGAGAGCAGGTCCCCTCTGGAACAGCCCAGCTCTGCCACCCACCTCCACGTCCCCTCACCCAAAGACCCCTTCTCTCCTGCCAGCGAGATGAGCTCCAGCACCACCAGCCAGAGCGAGGATACTTGGACAGGGAGTCAGGATGATCCACAGAGTGACGTTAATGACGGGCCGGAGTACCTGGCCATTGGGAACTTGGGACGCCGGGGCCGGGCATGCAGCAGCACCAGCACCAGCAGCACCAAGAGCAGTAGCTCTAAACTCTTCTCCTCCAGCAGCTCCCAGAAGCTGGACTCAGTATCATCCCTGGGGGAGCAGGGGGCAAGTGGAGGTGGCAGCAGGGGCCTGAGTCTGTTGCGCCGGTCCAGCTTCTCGGAGGGACAGTCCTCAGCTCCACAGGGCATCCTCAAGAAGAGCCACGTGCGCTCACACTCTGACACCAACGTGACTTCTGGGAAGTTGCACGGTAATGGGACAGCTTTTCTGGGGTGGCTTCTGGGCGTGGGAGTCCTGGGTACCAGAAGGCTGATGCTGACCTCCCCCTTGATTCCATGGATCACGTTGGAGAGAGGGACAGTGGGCAAGTGATTGGTCTTTTCCCTTAGCTTTTCAGCTCTACACTGGAATGATGGGATGACATCTTGCTTCCCAGAATGCCCTGGGCTGGACTGTTACTGGTATTGCCAGCTTTTACTAAAATCTTAGAAAATGGCAGCAATGCTGTGGTATCAGCTGTTCTTCTCCACTGGGCTTGCTTGGCTGGGATATGGGACTGGGGCCTGGGCTCACCCAACTGGTAGGATGTGAGCCCACTGGTAACCTGCTGGGTTCTCCTGTGGTCTTGAGTGATAACATGGGGATGGAGAGAGTGGGGTGGTGTGAGGGGACAACCAGTTTGAGAGAGTCTGCCCTGATGCTACACCTTCATTGGAGGAGTTGAGATCCTTGCTGAGTAGTAACCAGTCTGTCTCTGTTTTCTCTCCCTTAACGCTGCCCTTCTCCTCCTCTGTCTGCCCAGGAGGCCTCAGGGATATCACCATTATAATAGAAGATCCAGTGGCAGGTTTGGGAGCCAGTATAACAGCCCTTCATTAGTGATCATTGCATCAAGTTCAGGATTGCCATCAATCCATTAGTGTTCATTTAGAAAACAAAAAAAAAAGAGAATCTTTCTTTGCTGTGTCCCAGCTGATGCTTTGAAGTGTGATCTGGTTTATGCATGTGGCCAGACTGAAGATCCCAGCTTGGTTTGTGGAAGCAGTGGCCCAGACCCACAAATGTTTCCAGCTCCCCTGCATGGCGTTAGGGAGCGCTGGCCACCAAGTCTCTGAGCTCATCCCCTGCCCTTCCCTCCACCCACTGCCTTGGAAGCCAGGAGAGGTTTCCTCTCTTACCTAGTGAATAAGGGCTGACAGCTAACCAGGCATGGGCTTGGACATCTAATTTTTCCTTTTATTTCATGGATCTGTGGCACAGGGAGGTTGGATGTTGACTGATTTCCAGTGTATGTACCCACAGCTGAGACTCCTGGATGCTCTTTTGGGCTCAGGGCAGGTTTTACCCCAAGCAGAAATGCTGGAGTGCTGCCATCCCTTTGCCCCACGTGCAGAAAAAGTCAGCAGCTCAACAAAATGGGCTGTTTTCAATGAACAGTGGCACTGGGTTTGTCAAGCTCACATCTGGGTGCTGAGGGTTCTTTGTCTGGAAAGGCTCCTCCCTGGGGCTGATGGGTGTTCAGAGAGATGTGTCCAGCCCTGTGTCCTGCTCCAACAGATGTTGCTGAGCACTGCCTTGCTTTACCTTTCAGCAGTAGGCTCTGTTGTATGTGGCACCCCCAGGCATCAACCCCATGAGGTGGTTTCTATATTGAGGTGGCTGCAGGACACCATGGCAGGCTGCAGTGAGTAGCTGTGAGAGTCTCCTACCCTAACAAGTCTCTTGTCTCCCAGCCTGTGGTGATCCCAGGCTCCATCCTGGTGACTGCTGCTTCATGGCCTTGACAGGGAGAGACTGGTATTGGTTGTCTCAGGAGCCTCCAATCACATGAGAGTTAGGGCACAAAGCTGAGAACAAAAGTGAGTGGGAAGTTGAAAGGACATGGTTGCCCTTCTGTTATGCACAGGATTGTCAGCTGGCACCTGCCCTGTATCCAGAGCTGTATGCTCCTGTGCCACTCAGGCAGGGTGTTTTCAGTCTCCTTCAGCAGTCCTCTGTCACCCAGGCACTCCATCCAGGTGCTCCCTGGGGCCATGGCTCTCTGCAGAGCACCACCTGTTCTTGTTCTGCGGTCAGGCCAGCTCCTGGCAGTCTCCACTGGCTCAGTCTGGCAGGGAGTTGCACCACAGTGCGTGTGAGGGGCAGAGCCCTGCCCACAGCCCGTAGGTCACCTTGAGCACTGCACCCAGGCTCCATGCTCTGTGTGGGGAGTCTGCCTTACAGTGGAGCAGGAACACGTCCTTCAGATGCCTCCTTGCACTGGTGTCCAGGCTGCTTTGCAGGGCAGGGACCCCCACAGATCCTTTGGCAGCTCATGTTTCCCTGTGTATCCTGTTCTCTGTTCTGGGGGATAACTCTGCCCTCGGAATGCTCCCTCAGGAAGAAAGGGCTGGCAAGAGGTACTTGCTGGAGCCTGTTGTGTCCCCCAACTCTACTCTGGGGTAAACAGGGGAAGGCTCAGGATGTAACTGTTCCATGTCTCTCATGATCTTCTCTCCTTCATTCCCCTTCTCCTGCCTGAAATGCCTTTCTAGTTTTGTCTCCTCCTGGGCTTGCCCTCAGCTGTGGCATGGAGCAGGAAGATGTCTCTCTTTATTTCCATCCATTTGTGCCTGCGTGTGTGATGCCAAACCCCTTTCATTTCACCCTGTGCAGTGGCAGGGCGCTTCTAACGTACTGACGTGTGCCTGGTGTCATCTTCCCTTCCAGAGTCCCATGGTGATCCAAGTGGAGGGAGAGGGCCGGTCTCTGCTTCCACGCAGAGCAGTGAACTGAGCACACCCAGCTCCCTCTACATGGAGTATGGTGAGTACAGCCAGCCTCAGTGGGGACACTCAATCCTGGTCAGGTTCCTCCATGTGCTGCAGTGTCCTCAAGTGCTGGCACCTGCTTGTGGGATGCTGTCAGGGTGCTGACAGGACTTGGTGGCATGGAGATAGCAGATCCTTCCCTCATACCTGTGTCTCTTGTATTTTTAGACTCTGGACAGTACCTGAGCTCGGGGGAAGGGATGTTCAGGAGACCTTCAGAAGGGCAGTCCCTCATCAGCTACCTCTCTGAGCAGGACTTTGGCAGCTGTGCAGACCTGGAGAAGGTGAGGGAAGCAGCAGCAGCCTATGTCCATTGGAGAATACATCTTACTGCAGGTTCAGGAATACTTCCTGCCATGGGGAGGATAATGCCATGGTATTGCCTGTTGTAGAGCTGTGCACAGAACTGAGCTGAGCTGAGCTCCTCGGTGGTGTCTGGTAGTTGGGATCTGTCCATCTGTCATATACATGACAGCTTTGCGACATGTTAGGGCCCCTCAGGGCTGTGTGCTGACCCCTCAGAGTGCATCTCTTTGTAGGATGCCTCTTATATTTCATAAGTATTCTGATGCCCAAGAAGGCTTTGTTTTCTAGGTACTCATAGAAGAGTCATATTTTGACAGAAATTCACATCTTTCTGCCATGCATCCATAAGCTCTTTCCTGGCATAGGTGGGGAACAAAATTTTACCAAGTCTTCCTAGTTTGTCCAAGGCATAGCCTTGAACGCTTTTGCTCTTGCAGGAGAACGCCCACTTCAGCATCTCAGAGTCGCTGATTGCTGCCATTGAGCTGATGAAATGCAACATGATGAGCCGGCAGCTGGAGGAGGAGGAAGAAGACAGTGACAAGGAGATCCAGGAGCTGAAACAAAAGATTCGCATTCGTCGCCAGCAGATCCGCACCAGGCACCTGTTCCCTACCTGCCAGGAGCTGGGCTCAGACAGTGGGTGATGTGTTTTTGGGCTCATCAGCTAGTGGGATGTGGGTTTTCTGTCCATTGCCTATCCTCTAGCTGCCTGCCTTCCTGCCAGTTCCTTGGAAACAGTTAAATTGCTACCAAGGTGGTGCCAAGATTTGTGAAACTGCTGCTATTGGAGACCATAATGTGACAGATAACCATCCATTGATAACACTGCTGGCACTGAATGATGGAATGTCATTTCATTCTGAACCTGTAGTGTTTTCCATCCTTGAGCTCCCTGCCTCCTTTCCCTGGCCATACCTGGCTATCCCCATCTCCCCTAGCTGTCGGTGACCCTTTGGAGAACTTCCACTGGTGACCTGGCTGTGGTGCCTTTCTCCCAGGTCTCGTGGCAACAGACAGTGGGTCCCAGTTCAGCTCCCACGGCTCCATGCGGCTCTCTGACTCTGGCTCTGCGGAGGATGTGGAAGAGTATGAGATCCGAGGTAGGAGAGAATGGCTGTCTTGGCTGCTTTCACAGAAACAGACTTCCTGGTGTGGTTGTGTTGGGGTCAGTCCTGCTGAAGAAGGCCCTGTCTCTCTGGCCTTCAGGATGGCTTTTCCCAAACAAATGGCTGAATTCTGAGTATAAGCAGAGCACTCAGTTTCCCTCATGTGGTGGCATGACTTTGCTTCAAAATCTTCTGTAACCCTGTCACATTCTGTGCCTCTGGCTGGTAGGTGGTTTCCATTTCATTGCCTGGTACACATAGCTGTGGTCTCAGCTAGAGAGGTGGGAGAGCTGCCATCCTCTCTTCTCCTCCCCAGGCAGAAGGAGCCATAGCTCTGACCACTTACCTCTTGGATGGTGGGTACTGGTCACATCCCGACCTGCAATACCTGTAATCTCTGCTCCTGGCAGCTTGGGTGGCTGAGCTTATCACCCACAGGACGCCAGCCAAAGTCCCTGGCCTTCAGAGCCTTGTTCAGCCTCTGAAGTGGATGACTTACTTCACAGCAGTACCTCCATCTCGTACTTTAAAAAGAAGATGGAGTTGTCCAGTCTTCAGCTTTAAACTTCTTGTCTCCTGACTATTGACAGCAACCTCTCCTTTCAGTCCATGAGGGTGAGGTTTTGAGCTCAGTTTTGTAGCTCATGGAGGAGTGTGTGAATTCAGTTCTGGGCTCTCCTCGTGTGAGTGCTGTCTTGTTTTATGCCCTTTCTCTCCGGCCTGGCTGAAGCACTGAAGTCAACTGTTTTGTCATCACCATGTCATACAGATGGTAACGATGGATCTAACCTGATTCAAATGTCCAAGAACGGCCTCTCAGTGTCAATGGCTTCCTTGTTCTCAGGTACCCTGCAGTGCCTCCCTGGGCACGCGCGCGTGTGTGCAAGGTGTGTGTGTGTGTGCACGGGCACACTTCTTCGAAATCTGCCTGGTTTCAGAACTGGGATTTAGTTCCAGTATCATCCAGATGTCAGAAAGAAGAGCTGTGACAGGATGATGTGGCAGGATTGAGTAGAGTGAACTCAGAGGAGTTCTGCTGTGGGCTCCATCCCCCAGGGCATTTTGCTGTGCAGCGTTTTGGATATATCAAAATGCCTGCTGTGTGAAGACCTGTCCTGCCTGGGGTAGGACTTCACAGGACAGTGAAGCTCTGTAGATGTTGAAGGCTGAGTGTGGGCTGAATGAGAGCAGAGTCCTCTTCAATGTGGGACCAGGTCTCCATCCCAAGTGCCTTGGAGAGCATTATCCTGCTTGACTTGGCAGAGCTGGCATGCCATAGCTTTGATCTGAAGCACAGCCATCCTGTTCTGCTCAGACTTGACTTGGAGTGGAATCCTTCTAGAAAGAAGTTCTGGAGGGAGAAGAAGTGAGATCAGACAGGGCACAGGCAGTTTGTTCAAGTTGGAGGTCTTGGTCACTGGGATCACACGCAGCTTAGTGTTTTTATTGTTTACAGTAGTACTAGGTCTGGTCTGCTGGCCGTGTTTAAATAACCTTCATGTGCTCCCTGTTTGCTTTAGCAAGGGAACAGTCAGCTGGGTTGCTGCTGATCTCTCCTGTCAGGTGTTCAGCACCAGCACGTTGCTCCTGCTGGGTTTGCTGGTGCTCAGATCTTTCCTGTCAGTCCTATTGTGTTCACAGACCAGGCTGTGATCCTGGTTGAAGCTGGCACATGGGGTGTGGGGTGATGTCCTTAGATTTGGGGGCTGTTCACAAACCTCCTGGGTACTTTCCCACCTGATAGCATTGGCAGCAGAGGTGTTTTGGGTAGCTAATGAGGATCTGGGGAGTGTTTGCAGTTAATGTTGGGAAGTGAGCGGTGTCAGGATCCCAGTGTTAGCTCCCGTGGAAGCCTGGGGTCAGATCTGGCTCCCTCTGCCATCTCTGAGACCATGTCAATGCCTGAGTGTGCTGGCTCTGCCTCCCCATAGCACCTGGCCCACTCTGTGCTGTGTGTGCCCCCATTTGCTTGTGTTCATCATAGTCTAGGACCATGCAGGACCTTCCTGCACAGAGCACAAGGCACCAGAGCATGGTGGGTGTGTCTGGCTGGTGCCCTACAAGGTCGTGAGGCTGTTTGCCTGAATTTCCTGTTTTGTGCAGCTAGAATTCAGTTTGCATGATGTTGATATGTGGATTCCTTAACATTAGGATGCTTTCCTTTGCCTGCTTTAGTAATGGATGTCAAACAATGAAGGTCAAATGTCCAAGCTGAATTCCAGTAGTGTGAGTCTGTAAATTAGCAGGACTTGCTTACTTTGTTGCTAGGGCAGTCCTGCTGTCTGTAGAAAAGCTTGGGGCAGGGAGACACTCTTTGCTCAGCCTGTGATTCCCTCAGGTTCTGAGTCCCTAGGTCTCAGTGTGCATTTGGGGCCTGGCTGGGATCCTGTGGGCTCTCTCCAGATTTGTGTTAGTCAGCCTGCTTGGGGTACAGGAGCAGGGACCCTAAGCTGTGCCTCCCCATGCCAGGCACTGGGGCAGGGGAAGCTACAGGCTTTTGTTTGAGGGTGGTGTGGTCACTGCAGACCATTCCTAGAGCTCCCCAGAGGTACAAAACAGCACACCTACTGGGATGAAGGTTATGGCTTTGGCCACTCTTGGTCTGTCCTGACCTGTAGTACTTTCCCCTTGCATACCTTCTTCCCTTTTCTGGGAGCCTTATCTGCCCTGAAGCAGGTTTCTGCCTGCTTTTGTCTGCATTGTACGACTGGAATTGTCCTAACATAGGGGTTTTCTACTGTTGAGATGGATTCCCTGTTAGGTTTAACCTGCTGGAGTGAAAGAATGATGAGTGGTGAAGGTACCACTGGGTACTGCCTGGTACAGCTGTGGGGCAGCCCAGGGCTCTTTGGGAGTTGATTGAGAGCTGTAGAGAGCAGGACTGCAGTGTCCTGCACCTTGTCTTGGACCCCTCCCTCCTCAGGGGATGAGTGTGACCTCTGCAGAGGGCTGGCCTCATGGCTGCTGGCCCTGTCTCTGCAGGGGTGCTGGGGTGTGTGGGCAGTGCTGGGCACAGGCTGCCAGCCCTGGCTGTGCAGTCACTGACAAGCTGTGGCAGGGCCAATGTCTGATCTTACAGGTTACAGTCAGGTAGAGAAGGGCTCTGCATCCCATTGCTAATCCCTTCCAGCATCTATACTGTGTGTAGAGAGCTACTAAACCTTCTTGCTAACCCTGTAGTCCTGCTCTCCAGGCTCCTGTGTGTGTTCTATTTCAGACCATGTTACTGCTAGGACTTGGTGTGTGATCTGTACCAGCAGCCACTTGTCTGCCCCAAACTCCAGGCTGGCTGTTCACAGCACCCCACCATGCCTTTCCCTGGTAGTTCTGACAGCTGGCTGATTAGCCTGCACCCCTCCTTGCTGCTCAGTGCCACTGGTAGAAGCTGATGCTGTAGTTCACGTGCTTTTGAACAGCTTGATGAGTTTTACTTTGAAGCTTTGGTTTGAAATGAGTGCCTCCCCAGCCCTGTCCCATCTGTTCCACCTTGTCTGTTTGTGATTCAGATGCAGATATCAAGAGGAACCCAGACTCCAGCAGGAAGTCCTTTCTCTCCTCAGACTCCATGTATGTCTTCAACGTCATGGTGATACATCTTGGTACCACGTTCTCTTTCCTGCCCAGCTCTGCTCTTCCATGTGCATCAGTTTCTGTTTTACACTGGAGCAGATATCCCTCCCGTCCTCCTTCCCTCCCTCCCTCCCTCCCTCTGTGGGGACCCCTTTGCTTTGTGTGGTGAAATACAAAGCTGTGTCCATGGTTGGCAGCTGCTTGGGTAGGTTCATACTGGGAGAACAGTTGTTTCTGACTTACACAGGCACTGGCTGTCACTTTGCAGCTTCCCCTGTGAACAGGCGTAGGTTTTGCCAAGTGAGTTAAGTTTTGCTTGCTCTTCTGAACAGTTGTTTTGCCGTTAGCCAGCTTTGCTTGGGGACATCTGCAAAGACAGAAATCAATCATGTGTATTAACTTTAAGCCTGTGTAGCAGTGCAGAATTAAGGTACCAGAGTTGAAGGGAGGATCTGTGGCTTGGACTGGGACTGGCATGGGGCTGCAAGGAGGGCACAGCTGTGACATCCAGTTCTAACAATTCCTTTGCTGTCTAGATCCCACTCCTTCCTCAATTCCAACTCGGCAGAGGCGGTGGCCATGGGCTTGCTGAAGCAGTTTGAGGGCATGCAGCTCCCAGCTGCCTCTGAATTGGAGTGGCTGGTCCCTGAGCATGATGCCCCACAGAAGGTAAGGCTGTGAGTTCCTGTCACACTGATCGCATTTGATCTTCCCTGAACCCCTGGCTTCAGGGCACTGCTGAGGGGGCTTTGCTTGTCCCAGTGCTCCCTTTGTGGAGCTTGATGAGGGGGTTTATCTGGGCTTTGGAGATGGATGCACCTTCCTACAGCAGTGTCCAGATCCCTGGGGCACCGCCCTTCTTCAGCCCCCAATTCAGATGGGGGGTGACTTGGTGCCTGGCAGTTTTCCCGAGGGCTGCAGTTGCAGGTTTCTGGCAGTCCAGCCAGGTGCACTGCCTTTGCACTTCAAGATAGAGATCTGACCCTCTTGCCTGCCTCTCCCAGCTGCTGCCCATCCCTGACTCTCTGCCTATCTCTCCTGATGATGGAGAACACGCCGACATCTACAAGCTGAGGATTCGGGTGCGCGGAAACCTGGAGTGGGCCCCGCCGCGACCGCAGATCATCTTCAACGTTCACCTAGCCCCAGCGTAAGGACCCATGTGGTTGGGGGCTCTCAGGGGACCTGCCCTTTCCATCCCTTTTCCATCCACACCAAGGTTGCTTATCCTCTGGTTGCTGGGGTTTCCCTGCTCTGAGCCTGGTAAATCCACGGTGGTCACCACTGTGAGATGGAGGCAGTGCCTGGGGTTAGCGCCTTTGGTGTGACCCAGGACATAGTGGAGCTTTTTCCCTTGGGTGTGTTGTCCACATAAACCTCCCAGGCCTGTGCTGGTACCCATCTTCTGGTGCCAGGTACCACCAGGGCTGGGTCATGCATGTTGTCTTCTGTCTCTGGGCAGGAGAAAGGTGGCTGTGGCCAAGCAGAATTACCGGTGTGCAGGCTGTGGCATCCGGACTGATCCTGGTGAGTGCTGGGAGCCTGACCTGTAGCTGGAGAGTGGTGGGGAAGAACCTGCAAACAAGTGGGAAGATGCTGAGTGAGTGGGTGGTGGTAGAGCTCAGCATAAGGTCCCTGGAGCAGTGCTACACTGCCTTTGCCAGTTCTGCCTGCACATTGGTGCTCACCATCCACAGAGGAGCCTCCTCTTCTAGGAGGTCACAGAGCTGGTGGAGGCAAAGAGCAGCCAGCTCATCCTTTAGAGGGCATTTCAGATGTTGACTCTTGTAAGGCAAAGTCTTATGTTGGGTCCTCAAGCTTCCAGCAAGTTCTGCAGCTGCAGAGCTCTTCCATGAATATGTAGGTAGATGTGGTTGCACAAGACTGGACTATTGGCCCCAAAGGCTTTGCAGTCAGAGGGTGCTTGCAGACCTCAGTACTGAGCATTCTGGGCTGGCTGAGATGCCAGCAAGGCAGAGTTTCTTGCTTGTGAGAGATGCTGAGTTGGGAGTGCAGCAGAGGCCGTGCCTGGGCTGACCCTGCCTGTCTGCCTGGGTTTGGTCAGATTACATCAAGCGGCTGCGGTACTGCGAGTACCTGGGCAAGTATTTCTGCCAGTGCTGCCACGAGAACGCCCAGACTGTCATCCCCAGCCGCATCCTGCGCAAGTGGGACTTCAGCAAGTACTACGTGAGCAACTTCTCCAAAGACCTGCTGAGCAAGATCTGGAGTGACCCACTCTTCAATGTGCAAGCTATCAATCCTGCCCTGTACCAGAAAGTGAAGGCTCTCAACCAAGTGAGGGTAAGACCCTTTCCATACCTTCCTGAGTGGAGTTTGGGTGAGGTGGATGGCAGCCAACTGTAAACTATTTCAGGGAAGCTGGGGAAAAGCAGATCTTTCTGTTTTGGAGGCTTAAAACCTCATCACTGTATTTCTATTCACCTTTTCTGATTTCTTCAGTGGCATAGGAATGTCAAATTCATAGGAAAATCAAATAGGAATTTCTGGCTGGTATCCAGCTGGGCTTCAGTTTATCTCCTGGAGCACATGACGATGGTTGTGCTCGCCTTGCCCTGTGTGATGTAAACACTTTGGAAACAGGGGAGCAGCAGCTGAAGAGCAGCAGTTATTTCAGCAGCACAGGGAATGGGGCAGACCTGCTTGGCTGAGGACCATGCTCAGTTTACTGATTCTTTGTGCCCCCTTCCTCTCCAGCTGCTGCGAATCCAGCTTTTCCACATGAAGAACATGTTCAAGACGTGCCGGCTAGCTAAAGAGTGAGTCCTGCTGTCCCCAGGCAATTTGCACTGGGAATCTGTGCAGCTTGTGCATTGAACTCTGGGGAGACGGGGGGCTGGAGGGGGAGAGGAAGCATGAGGAGTGAAGGGCGGGGTCTTACTGGAGTCACTTTGCTCTGAGCTCTGGTTTCTCTGTCCTTGCAGCCTCCTGGACTCCTTTGACACAGTTCCTGGCCACTTGACAGAGGATTTGCACCTCTACTCACTGAGTGACTTCAGTGCCATCAAGAAAGGGGACCTCATGCCTCACCTGACAGAGCTCCTGAAGGCAGGCAGCCTGCACATTGACAAGTGCATGGTAAGGCCTCCTTTCCTGCCTGGCTCTGGACCCTTGGGAGGGAGCAGGCTTTGCTGCAAAGATAACTGATGGGGAGGCTTTGGTGTGCAGAGCAGCCATCAAATTAACTGATTCAATGCTAACTGTTCCTGCCTGCTTCACAGAGCTCCTACTCAGCACAAATGGGATATTTGTTACCCTATTTTGGCTCTCCCCTGACACAGGTGGATCCAGCCTTCCTGTGCTCCATGCTGGGGAAGGGCTGTCCCACATGGTTAGAGCAGGGCACTGTGGCCTGCTGTCCTGCTCTACTCTACCTTCTGTCCTACTTGCCAGGAAGATGAGCATTTAGCTGCTTTTTCCTCATCTTTTCTCTTTCCAGCTGTGCCAAGCCAAAGGTTTCATCTGTGAGTTCTGCCAGAATGAGGATGACATCATCTTCCCCTTTGAGCTCAACAAGTGCAGGACGTGTGAAGGTGAGATACTGGGGAAAAACAGGGAGGGGACAGACCCTGGGGCCACCAAGATCTGCTTCCAGTTTGAGTGGCATTTGTGCTAGCAAGAGGTACAGAGCTGTAGCCAGCCAGACCAAAGTGCCCCTGTGCATGGCCTGTCTGCAATGTTACAACAGCAGCAGATCATAATTTTCAGTGTTTGCTGGCGTGGTAAAGCATGTAGGTCCCCTCCTGACCACGCTCTGTGCTGCCTGCCCTGGCAGCTGTGGGCTGTCACTGCAGTGAGTGGGTGTGTGGGGGTCCTGGCTTCCCTCCTGCTGCAGTTACAGGACAGGCTGCAGCCTGCACACAGCTCCCCTGCTCTGCTTGAATGGCTGGAGCTGAGTTTGTAGAGCAGAGAGAGCCTGAAGGCTTTATCTCTGTGCCCTTCCTGCCTGCTAAGAAATCCCTAGATCCCTTCAGGGGACATCCTCGATAATGGCCAGTATTAATGGCTGAGTAGAGCTTGGCCCTACGTCTTGGGACCAACCTCTGAACTGGCATCAGATGGCTCCTGACAACATGCAAGCCTTGGTTTGGCAGGTGCAGTGCCAGAGAAAACGTGGGGCAAAGTCACTGTTTCCTTGGAGTATCAGGAAAGCTTGGGGAGGGACCTTGTGCAGAGCAGAAATCCTCCCTCCTGTGCTTCCAAAGCTTCATGAGCTAGTGCAGGGACCTGGGGTGTGGAGTGTCAGGCAGTCTGTCAGCCTGTACCAGCACTCAGCCATGCTCTCCCTCACAGAGTGCAAAGCCTGCTACCACAAATCCTGCTTCAAATCCAGCCGCTGTCCCCGGTGCGAGCGCCTTCAAGCCCGCAGAGCGCTGCTGGACAGGCAGAGCAGGGAGCCCTGCAGCTCGGACTGCGAAGATGAGCTGGAGCAGCCGGAGGCAGTGGCAGCCACATGAGCATGTTGCAGCCAAGGAGCAGATCATGGGTTTATTTATGTGCATGGCTTCATCACCAGAGACTGAGCCACACGGAGTGGGGATGAGGACTGTTGGGAGGCCCGGAGCACTGTCTTGAAGGGATTTCTTTTCCCACATCCAGGACTGCTGGGCTGGGAAAGGAGCCTATTCCACCGTGTGGATCTGCTCCAGGTACCACTCCCAGTCACTGATGCCTTTGCTTGGGGGGAGGCAGCTGCTCCTGCCTGTCCTGCAGGCAGAACAGGGACCTTTTCCGAGCAGTTGTTCATGCTGGACCCAGCAGGGCTGTGCTGTCCATCCCTGTGCCCTGCTCTGAGCTGAGCAGGGTCCCCTGAAGGGTCAGCACTTGCTGCTCATCAGCTGTATACTACTAGGAAGCTCTGGTCACATCTGCTCCTTGGAGGAGGGAATCAGGTCTCAGTCCTGTGATCCTCCGTTCTGCTGCTGGGGGTTGTGTGCATGGAGGGAGGGTGGGGTTTGGGGTTGGTTGTATATTTAACAGCTCCCTTTCTCAAATGTGCTGTGGGACACTGCTGGAGAGCAGTTGCTCTGACTCCAGAATCAGAGCAGAGGATGTGGCAATGATGAAAATGCCAGATTTCCCTGTGCTGCAGAGGGACATTGCCCCTGGAGCAGCTGCACAAGTGGATGTGCTGGTGGACTTCCGGCAGGCAGATCCCCATGGCTCCACAGAAATCTGCCTCCATGGGATATGGTGAGGCTTCTGACCCTACTTCCTCCTCATGCTGCCAATCTATCCTACCAGGGAGAGATGTCCTCCTTTAAGGATGACATGGGACCTCACTCTGGTGGTACCAGAACCTGCCTTGTGTGGAGCTCCCTCTCTGCCTGAGACCTGTCAGGATGCAGGTGAAGGCTTGTCCCTCCAGCTGCATCCCCAAGCCTCTGTTTAGTTGTTTGGTTTTTTTTTAATCTGCTGGACTTGGTTTTATTTTTTTTAATGTCGTTGTTTGTATTTTTAACTGTGTGTTCCCCTCAAGGAGGTGCTGCTTGAAATGCCTTCTTAGGGGGCATGTGATCTGCTTGGGACTCGCCAGTATAAAATCTCCAGGGCTATCCTGCTCCTGGTTCCTCACCCCTGGATGGAGCTGGTCCCCTCTCCCAGCAGGATCTCCTGCTTCCCTTTGGGGAGGAAGGGTCCCTGAGCCAGGCAAAGTTTTGAAGCTTCCCAGCTGTGGTGGGATGGTCAGGCAGCCTGCTTGCAACAGGGATACCCAGGGGAGAGGGGTTTGGCACTGGGGTGCTGCCAAGGACTGGTTCCTCACTGATGCACTTGTGTCACCTGCCACAAGTGACAGCTCTGCGGGGTCAGGGTCAGACCCAGTGGGACAAGGTGAGCTCTGTGCCCAGCTGAAGAGGTGCCTCTGCATCGTGGGGGGATGCTTTAGCCATGGCATGTCCAGCACCAACTCAGCACAGGTGGGATGTGGGCTGTTAGGAAGGATGGTGTGGCCTGTGTATGTGCAAGGAGGGTGCAAGGGGCCAGAGAGCAGTGCACTGGCAGGAGGCTCTAAGGGACAGTGGCTCTTTCAGCACATGCCCTGATTCGAGGCTGGGATGTGACCCCTTGTGGGCTCTCCCTGTGGGGGTGGCAGAGCTGGGGAGAGGGGAAGAGGCTGGGTCCAGGACATGTGGCTGCAAGCCTTGCTGTGAGGGCTGGGCTGCTGCATCTCTCCCCTGCCTGCAGCATCCTGACCAAGTCCTGAAAGCAGGGTTCAGCTCCCCACTTGCTCCCCTGCGGTTTTTGCTGCCTTGTGTCTTGCTTCTGCTTTTTTTCCCCAGAAGAGCAGCTGCTCTTCTGCTCACTCTGTCTCTGCAAGCCCTGGGCTGCCAGATGCTGGTCTGCCTTGGTCTTGCCTGTCCCCAAGCCTGAGCCACACCCTCCTGCTGTTGCTTGGATCTTGGACCCCCTTCCCTGGAGTTGCCTCAGCAGCACACCTCCATCCACCCTATTTTGTTTAAAGCACTTTACTGTCATGGGACAGCAGCTGAGAGGCTGCCCAGATCCCTTTCTAGAAGCACTGAGTACTTTTTGAGAAGAGGGAAGGAATTCTGGCTTAGTTATGGTTTCCACCCTCCACCATGGACTGTGTGTGGAAGCAGTAAGACTCCCAAACCTGGCACAGGTTTTCAGGGCAAGACTGTGCCCAGCACTGACACTGCTGCCCAGCACTGACCACTACAACTAACACTGGAACTGGCCACAACAGGGAGCTCTGGGAGGGAGAGCTGGGGGCTGCCCTGGCTGTCAGCTGGAGCCCTCACAACGGGATTATTGCACAGCACAGCAATTAAAATGCCGTCCTTAATAAACCATGTTAATAAGGAGTCTGGTTGTGTTGTGACATTGTTTCTGGTGGGGTAATGGTGTGTATCCCACCTCGAGGTGATGGGGCAGGCAGGGAGCAATGGAAGGGACAGCTCATGTAGCTGGTGGTGCAGTCACTGGGAGGGGGTTATGGTCACTACCCCTTGACTAATTAGTCTGGTTTGTGGCCTGCCCCTGCAAACTGCCCACTGGACTCAGGGCAGGAGGTACAAGGGCTCTGTAATGTCAGTCCCCTTCCAGAGTTTGCTGCTGGCAGAGGGGCACAGGGCCCTGGCCTTGGCTGCCCTGGCCTTGCTTGCATTTCCATTCCACGCCACCAAACTCTGTTCACAGCAGTGTTGTGCATCTCCCCATAAACACCATCAACACAGGTGATACAAACTGTAAACTTTAAAACAACTGTTGAAAGATGACAGCCCAGCACTGGCTCCACAAAGAGCCTCTTCCTGGGGGCTTTTCCCTAGAAACACTCTGCTCAGCCCAAATCTCAGCTGTGGTTACCAGCAGCAATGACAACCTGGGCTACTCCTGCGGCCTTGGTTGTAGAAAGGTTTCTGGCAGGCACAGGCATGCCGAGGATAGGCTCTCACAGCTGCCAGCAAACTTGTGGCAGCAGAAGGGCTCCAGCAGCTGCCCCAGTGTGGCAACTTGAGCAGTGGGTGATGGCAAAGATCTGCAGAACCCTGGAGCTTGCTGCTGGAAGGAGCCCTCAATAACAAAGAGCCCTTCAATATCCCAGGGTGATGTCTGCCCTGGGTGATCCCTGCAAGCTGGCAGCCTGGCAAAGGCACATCTGCCCAGCCCAGAGGGTCACTGCGAGTGTGTGGGGGCATAGCGACGCTCGAACTGCTCCACGTCGAACTTGCGCTTGCAGCCGGCGTAGTTCATGTAGCGAATCTTCCCGAAGATGGGCCGCTCCGCCCAGCCCTGGTCGTGAATGCCGCAGATGGACCACAGGCAGCCTGCCGGGCACAGGGACACCAGCCTCAGCTCTCCCCCTTGCTTGGAGGCACCCAGAGAGCAAGTGGGATGCGAGAGCAAAGCAGAATGGGCTGGAGTTGCCTGCAGAGAGCCCCCACTGCAGCCTTGGCCATCAGAGCTAAGGCCTCCCACCCCGTGCCCCCATCCTGCAGCTTGCCTACGTATCCATTCGGGTCCCTCCCATCCAGCTCGTAGCGGTCGTTGAGGTAGATGGCAAACTGCAGGGCCTCCTCAGGGGAGCGTGTCCACTCCAGGATCTTCTTGGCCCAGTACATCCGCAGGAAGCCGTGCATCTTGCCCTCCTGGACCATCTGCAGCTGCAGGGATGGAGACAGCCGTAAGGATCAGTCCATGGCAGGTCACCTCCGTGCCTCAGAAAAAAGCTGAGCATCTTGTGGGGAAGATGTAGGGCAGTACCTGGGCAGCGTTCCAGAGCGGGTCATGTGTGGTCCCCTGCTCCAGCTCCTGCAGACTGTACAGATAAGGCCTCTTGTCTTTGGCGTGGAGCTTCAGGGTGGTTTGTGCCCAGTCATAGGCACCTGTGAGCAAGAGATGAGGAGCAACACTGAGCAACCTGTTCTGCAGGGTCCTGAGAACCAGGCTACTGAGGGCACTGTGCCCTGGAGGCACCAGTCTTGAAGAGGGCACTCGTCACCTTCTGTCCTACCTCCAGAAGAGACAAAATGTTGGGACATTAGTGCCCCCAGAGCCCCTCTCTTAGCAGAACTGAGATGGCCAAGTTGGAGTGACCAGCTGGGTAGCCAGCACGGCCCACGTGACCCAGGATGTTACCCTGCACACTGTCATAGTTCTCATTGTAGTAGCAGAAGTTTTCAGCCAGCTCCCGCCGCACCACAGCCTCCTCCACGAATGAATCCACTGAGTCCTTGAAATTGCGCCGGTGCTTCTGCACCTCCAGGATGGCTCTTTGCGTGGAAACCTGGCCTGGGGACATGGGGAAGCACCAAGTCAGGTTGCTGGTCCAAGCCACAATGCTCAGTCCTGCTGCACAGTGGGAAGCCTGGGACACTCACCGAAGTGAAGCCACGGGGACAGGTTGCTGAGAGCTGCCTTGTTGGGATCATTCCTGTGGCTGCTGAAGGATTTCAGCCGCTCTGCAATGAAGGATTTCAGCACAGCCATCCCTGCAGCTGTGCCAGGGGTTGCCCACTCCACCTCCTTCACAGTGTGGTCCACCTGCAAGCTGGAATAACACGCCTCCCAAGCAATGGGCTGGGCGGCGACCAAGCAGTGAGTGCATCTGCAGAAACTTTTCAGCGAGGGCTGCCCTCAGTGTTATGTCCTCAACCAGCAAAATCCCTAATCCATGCTAGCCTCCTCCTCTTAACTAGCCCTCTGCATGGCAGATGTGGGAACTGAATGAATGAGGTGGGAACCTCCCTTTCCCCAGGGCATCCTCATCTCCACACCATCTGCGTGTGACCTCAGGCAGGTCACCATCCTCATTCCCTGCCAACCCCTCCCAGGATCACAAACGACTTATGAAACACTCTGAGACCTGCCCATGAATGGGTCTGAGTGTCTCCTGCAGGTACCTCTGCTGGGCAGGAAGGCGGATGTGGGTGACGAACAACAGGGGGAAACTCGGTGAGGAACTCGGGGAGCTGAGCGTGGATCTTGCCCCGGATGGTCCTGGCGCTGTACTCCTGCTTGGGGGAGGCGACCCAGCAGGGCACGATGTTGTGGGCATCAACCTGGGAAGCAAAGCCATGGAGAAGGGTGTGAGAAGCAAACACTCCTGACAACTTGACACACATGCTCTCTGCTCAAGTCACGCTGGTGTGCAAGACACAGGAGACAAGTTTGTCCCACATCTCACCAGCCAGTTTTCCATTCCCAGAGTACTGGCACCCACCTGTGCAAATGGCACATCCTCTGGCAACCGTTCCCTGACGTCCTCCACCCACTGCCGGGGGAGGCGGAGGGGACTGAAGTCTGTCACCAGCCCACCCACGCCATGCTCCGTCACAAACGTGGGCAGCACATCCTTGGCATAGCCCAGCAGCAAGTGGAAGGAGATGTTCAGCTCTGCACACTCCTGCAGTGACAGGGAAATGGCTGTGGGACAGTTCATGGCTCTGCAACACCACCCAACCACCATCTGCTGAAGGGATGGATGTGCCTCCCCTCTTCCCCATTCGCCCTGTCCCACCCAGCACGGACATCCCCTGGCTGTACCTCTGCTACCTCCTGTAGGCCCCTCAGCATGAACCTGTAGTGGCGGATGGTGGCCTCCAGAAATTTGGGCACCAAGCAGAAGCAGACATGCAGAGGCAGCTCCTGTTTGAGGGCCAGGCGCTGGGCGTAGAGGAAAGCCCAGTTATCTGGGGGAAAAGTCCACAGGCCAGCGTCAGGAGGGTGCTTCACTGACAGGATGGGGATGGGGTTTCACAGGAAGTTTCCCGCCATACCCCCCTGTAGAGAGTGGCGCCAGCACCAAACCAAAGTTATCAAAGGAGGGGACCAGCGCTTTTACCACCCATGGGAGCCCCTTCCACCAGCTGGTTCGCACCTTGCACTCGCTGATCCCGGCACATCCAGTAAAGGATGCATCGAGCATCATCCTTCAGGTCCGAGCCCTGCGAGACAAGGCGAACCCGCTTTTTGTTGTACTTGAAGTCCCGGACGGACGGGGCCGCCCTCCGACGGGCTTCCTGTATCGCCTGCTCTCCCTCCGTCCTCCTCCGCGACACGCGCGGCACCTCCGCGGCCTCGGCCTTTCGCTTCGCTTGTCCCCGCCGCATCCTCAGCACCGCCCGGAGCAGCGTGGCTGCGCTGCCGGAGGAGAACAGGCCGCACTGAGCTCCTGCGCTTCCCTGCGAGTCCCGGGCCGCGGTCCGCCCGCAGAGCCCGGGGGATGCTGCTGGTTCCCCGCCCATCCTGGGCCTCGGGCACCGGGGAATAACGGTGTTACGGTCCCCGGCCACATCCGCTCCTGGGGTCCATACCTGGGGTCGGGGTCGGGATCCCGATCCCGATCCCGATCCCGATCCCGATCCCGATCCCGATCCCGATCCCGATCCCGATCCCTACCTGACAGCCACGCGGCCCCGAGTGTTACACAAGCCGTGGGCGGTGCGAAGGGCGTGCCCATGGGCGTGGCCGTGTCCCGAGGGGCGGGGCCTGTGGCCGGGCCCGCCCCCCGCACACCGGCGCAGGTGCTGCTCCCGTGTCCCCGGCGCGCCCGAGGCGCTGCACCTGCCCCGGGAGGGGTCAGTGCCCGCTGGTGCCTCCCCTCCGTGCGCCCGGGAACAAGGAAGCAGCTCCAACTACCTTCAGCCATCGCTCGGCAGCGTAGTTCCCCGCTGGCACCTTCCCCAGGCCCTGTGTCCTCAGGTCCCTCAGCTTCCAAAGCGTTGGGGTGCTGGCTTTGGCCATGACTCGGGGCACGGGAGGGCTGCCCCTGCTGCTGCTGAGCCTTGCTGTGCTGGATCTCTCACTGGGTAAGGGCTGAGCGGTATGTGGAGCTATCCATGGGGTGGGGGCTGAGTGAGGAGCGTCGTTCTCCAGGGTGGTGGGTGGCCCTGGGGTGACTTCACTCACAGAGGTGAAACACTTCGGGTGCTGTTTGCTCTCCAACATCCTGTCCTAGTGAGCAAGCAGGGCTGTGCTTTGCAGAACACAAGCAACAAGCTCTGTTTCTTTTGCCTCTGATGTGTCTCCATCTGGGAAGAGAAGACCTTAGGCTCAGCTAGACCCCCTTGCTGAGCCTTGGCTCTTGCTGGGCTCGTTGCCTTTGCTACAACCTGCCCAGTAACACCAAATGGTCCTGCCCAGATGGCAACCTCACTGGGAGGTACTAGGCCTGGAGACCTTCAAATGCCATCCCAACATTTGCACTTGATGCAAAGTAAGAGCAGTCTTGCGTGGAGCACTGGGAATAAGCCTGCAGCTTGTGCCTCCTGAGAACCTTGAACTACGGCTGTAGGTCCCCTCCTGCTGCACCCCTCAACCCACTCCCAGAGCTTTTGTGGGCTGCAACAGGTCTCTCATGGACATGCCCTGAGCTGCAAGCTGGGGTTTGTTCCTTTGTGGGGCTAGTTCCACAAAGCATTTCCCCACTGCCATTATTTACACCCACCACTATCAGTTCCTGACTGTCTGCAGCACAGAGGGTTTGTTTAAACTGCTGCTGCTGCACTTCCAGACTGTCTCACGGTCACCGGTTCCTGCTTGGCTCTTCCTGTCAGACGGGTTTGTCTGACTTCCTCCAGGGATGGGTGAAGATGGTGGAATGGGTCTTAGGACTGGCACCGAGAGGAGTTTCTGCCCTGAAACCAGCAATGGCCATGGCTTGTTCCTGCTTTGCCAGGCTGGGGATTTATGTGGTCTGCCTGGCTGATTGTCACGTTGCTATTCAGGGAATCCACATGCTTGATCCATGCAGGACAGGGAATCCCCACTTCTGATGATCCATGGCTGATGCAAGACTTGGGCAGTTCATGGTGGTAGTAATATTGCACCATCCCCAGCACAGCCTTTCACTGCCAGCACTTGTGTGCTGTCTCCCACCTCTTTGTAGGGACCACTGTCAAAGATACGACAAACCTTGCACCCCTGACTCCCAACCTCCTTGCACCCACAGAGACCATGGCCCCACTGCCCAACACCAGCTCAAGCACTGCAGCCACCTTCCCTTCCTCTCGTCCTGCAACCTCCACCCCAGAGATGCCAACGGATGCCTTCACATCCAGTGCTTCTACAGCTCAGCAGAGCAGCCTGGCAGCCTCCAACATCCCCACACCGCAGGCAAGGGGCAGCACAGCTGACAGCACTCCTGTGTCACCTGGGCTGGGACCCAGCACCAGCAGTGCCCCAGCAGGGCAGGAAATCACCACCAGCAGTGCCCCAGCAGGGCAGGAAATCACCACCAGCAGTGCCCCAGCAGGGCTGGGATCCAGCACCACCCCAGGAGGCCTGGGGCTCACCACCACCAGCACGCCAACTCCAGCCTCCACGGCCATGACATCCAGCTGTGACAAGACTACCACTTTCACGTCTGTGGGGACCAGCACAGCCCTGGCTGTCAGCTCAGTTGGAGCTGAAATGACCATGCTGCCTCTCTCCACCTCTACTCTTCTCTCCTCCACTGGGGTGGGCACCACACTTGGCACCAGCACCCATCAAGAGGCAGCCATGACCACACTGCTTGGCAGCACATCCTCAGGGACCACCTCTTCTTCCACCACCCCAGAAGTGACAGACACTTCAGATGGGCCCTTGACGACCCCATCAGACACCACGACCTCCCTTGTTACCACCACAGAGGTCCCTGGGACCACCCCTGGTACTTCCACCCCAACAGAACCAGAGACCCCCAGTGACACTGCAGGTGAGTGCAGCTACAGGGCACCCGGAGGGCAGGATCAGGGTGGCAAATCCCCACAGGATCTCCCATCTTGCTCAGCCAAGCACTTGGCTTCCTCCCCCAGGGGCCACCTCGTCTCCAGGCTCTGCAGGCCAGTGGCTGGGTCCTAGGCTGGGGACCTGTGTGACAGTACTGCCATGTGGCTGTGCCCCCAGCACTGAGCCTGTATGCACACACCCCCTGGAGAATCTATGTAGCCTGTACCCCGAGGAGTGTGACTGTACCCCTGCAGTCCCCTGGCAGTGCTGCTTACTGGGCACCTGTGTCCTGTCAGTGTGGCTGTATCCTGGTGGCTGTTTGGAGGAGCCTTTATCCTGGGACTGCAGATATACCCTGGTGACAGCCCACCCTGTGCACCTCAGCCAGGACAGGGACACTGTACCCTGCCCCAGACCCCTGGCCATGCACATGTTCCTGGTGTCCCTGTACCCCAGCAGAGCTGGTGTATCCTCACAGAGTACCTCACCCTGGCCCCGTGCCTGCTGTGAGAGCACCTCATCAGAGTGCCAGCACCCTGGTGATGGCCTCAGTGTGCCTGTGCCCTGGCAGTGCCCCCGTGCAGCTGCTCACAGCAGGGTGGCTATGCCCTGACAATCCTCCAGCACGCCTGCCGGCCTGTGGAATGCTGGCACCTCCGAGTGCTCTTGTCCCTGACCCTGAGAAGAAGGAAGCAGCCCCAGCTGTCAGCAGCGCACTTGGGCCGTGATACGCTGTGACACGGGGAAGTGATGCCTGCACAGACAGCCCAGGGGACAAACCCTCAGCCCGGGGCACGCCCTTCCTGAGTGCTGCCTGTTCTCCTGGCCGGTTCCTCGCGCTCAGACAGAGCTGGCTGTTGTCTCCTGAGGGCGTTGGTGCTGGGAGCCACCACCAAACATCACCCCTGTGGCGAAGTGCGGGTTCCGGGCAGCCTGGAGCATTCCTGGGCTTTTTTCTGTTGTCACCCTCCTCATGGCAGGCACAGGACGGCCACAGGAGCCAGGTCTGTAGTAGTGGTGGCCTTGGTGGCCTGTCCTGCCCGCTTTTTGTGGCTGTTCTGGGTCCAGCTGTGCAGTTGATGTTTGCTGGGCATTGCACCAGTCCCTGGGAGTGTCCGTGTCAGGTGGAACCCACTGCCTTGCTGCCAGCACCTGGAGGGTAAAAGGACCCACCTGGATGCTCCTTCTCTGCTGGGTGAAGGAGACCTGTAAACCCCAGTGCTGGGGCTGTGGGGAGCGGTGCCCGTGGGGGTTTGTCAGCTCCTGCTCACCTGGACATGGCTGGGCAGAGAGGAGGGCTGGCCCTGCCCCTGCTCTGGCCCCTGCTGCTGCTGCTGCTGCTGAGCCTCACCTGCCTCGCCGTGCTGCACCTGGCTCTGGGTAAGGGCTGAGTGGGCTCAGTGCTCTCTGCAGGGTGGGTGGTGAGCGGGGAGCGTCATTCCCCAGGGTGGAGGGGTGGCACCTGTGGGGTGCAGGGGGCAGTGCTGCGGGGCTGTGTCCTGCTTCTTAAATGGGAAACAGAGGTGAGCTTGCTGCTTCTCCTTTTGTGAGGATGAGACCCTTCTGTGCAGATGCTCACCTGGCAAGGGCTAGGGTCAGACCTTTGCCCTTCTCTGTATTTTTATTTAGCTAGCTGCTGTGTGCAGAGAAGGCATGGCTGCCTGGGGTTTTGGAAGTTTCTGCTGGCTTGGCTGAATGCAGATAGCAGCTTGTGGTTTGGTTTCCCATTTTCATGCAGGCAGAGCCCCAGACTCACTGGGTTTGTGCTGGGATCACTGGGGAATCCAGTCTGGTATCCCAAAGCCACCAACTCACAGACACTCCTTGACAAAGGTCCAGGTAGCCAGGCTGTCCTACCTGTCCTTTGGAGAGGGTTGCAGGTCCCTGGGCTTTTCTGAGGACAGCACACTGCTCTGGTACAGTCCATAGTGGAAGAGAGGACAGCCCTCCTGTGTCCCACCCCCTCCCTCCCAGAGCTTTTGTGGGTCACAGCACGTCTGCTCATCCTGAGCTGCAAGCTGGGATTTGTTCCTTTGTGGGGCTGCTTCCCCCGCTGCCATTATTTACACCCACCACTATCAGTTCCTGACTGTCTGCAGCACAGAGGGTTTGTTTAAACTGCTGCTGCTGCACTTCCAGACTGTCTCACGGTCACCGGTTCCTGCTTGGCTCTTCCTGTTAGACGGGTTTGTCTGACTTCCTCCAGGGATGGGTGAAGATGGTGGAATGGGTCTTAGGACTGGCACCGAGAGGAGTTTCTGCCCTGAAACCAGCAATGGCCATGGCTTGTTCCTGCTTTGCCAGGCTGGGGATTTATGTGGTCTGCCTGGCTGATACCCACTGAAGACATCTGTGTGTGTGATCCATGCAGACAGTGAACTCCCCCTCCCAGTGCTCCATGGCTGGTGCAGCTCTGAGTCCCTTGGGGAGCTCACTGTGGTGGTGATGCTGCACCATGCCAAGCACAGCCATGGGCTCAGCCCTTCACCACCAACCCTTGTGCATCTCATTGTTCCAACTCTTTGCAGAGACCACTGCCATGGGGGTGACAGCAACTGTGTCCCCAGCTCACCATACCTCCTCAACACCCGTGGAGAGCTCAACACTGCTGCCTACCGCTGACTCCACCACCACAGCCACCCTCCTTTCCTCCAGCCCTGAAACAGAGGCCTCCACCCCAGAGGAGTCCAGCACATCCATAGAGACTGGCAAGACATCACCTCCCACTGTGCTTCCTCCCACCACAACTACAGAAGATTCAGCTGAATCTACAGAAGAGACCTTGGCAACCCTGGCAGACACCACAGCCAGCCCTGTAATCAGCACATCAGACCCCATGAGCGCTCCCTCTTCAAGCCACCCAGCCAGGACCACTCCTGACATCTTCCCCTCAACTGGGGAGTCGACTCCAGGTACCCTGACAGTATCTGGGACCCCCAGTGCAGCTGGGTGGGTTTCTGAAGGCAGGGACGTAGTCATGGTGACAAATCCCCACAGGAATTTCATGTACTTGGGTGGCTTCACACATGTGGCTTCACCTAGGCCTGTCCCCAGCTGCAGGAGCCTCCTGTACTCCTGCAGACAGCACTAACCTAACATTGCTTTGCCCAGGCACTGAGTCCTCCTCCCCTGCCACCAGCTCAGCCCAGACCTCAGAGGCTACTACCCTCAGCACGCCTACAGACCTGCCAACGCTGCCGCCAGTCTGCCCCTCTGGCTCTTCCAACACCAGTAAGTGCAGTGCCCGTGGCCATCACCACCCCCAGCATCGGTGCTTGGGGCCAGTGCAGGGGGTCCTGGAGCCCCACTCCTCTTGCTGTGCTCTCAGTGTGGAGGTGCTGATGCTTTGGGGTTTGCTGTGCAGTGAGAGGCTTCTTCTGGCAGTGTAGTGTGTCCATGACCAATTAACCCGGGAGGACGTTCCATGTCTGTGCCAGCAACCCTGGGGAGACACCCCCAGGTCCTCTGGCACAGCCCAGGGTTCAAGGGCAATAACCTGAGTCCTGTTTTTAATCCCCAGGTGCGTCTCACCTCTTTCTGTCGCTGCAGCTAAGCACCCCTCTGGACCTGGGGAACACCACGGTGCAGGAGCTGGTGTTGGCCAAGGTGAGGTGTGCAGGAGGAGATTCTGCATCTGCCAGCTGTGGTTCACTCAGCTGGGGAGGGGAATGGCTGCATCTTGCATTGAATGTCATCCAGAGCCCTTTCAGATGGAGGGGAGACCCTCCTCTGGCTGCCATAGTCCAGGATCAGGCCCTTTCTGTGGGAACAGAGGGTAGGAAGATCTCTGGCACAGTTTGATGGCTGTTCTTTCCCCCCAGCTCCGTGAGGACCTGCAGACAGCATTCCCATGTGCTGGCCTGTCACTGGCATGGCGAGGGAAGAGGAGGACTTGACTGCTGCTCCTCACCTGGCCTGCTCCCGCCTGGACTGCTCCCAGCTCCTCACTCCATGGTGCTGCAGACCCCTGGGGAATCCCATACAGCTCCTCTTGAACCTGGGGCTTCCTGTCCTTCACTTTGTACCCCCAGTCCCCTCCTGACCATTCCACAGCCTGTCTGAAGAGCCTGAGCCCTCCCACCACCCTGCTCCAGACCTGGTTCCCCCTCCAGCTCTGCTGGGGAGCAGGGAGAAGGGGACCCCACGGGACTGGTCTTTTCATCTGGGACTGAGCTGGCTCATCCATCAAAGCCACCCTGGGGACAGGAGAATGAGAAGAAGGAGACTGAAGCCCCCAGTACTGCTGTGCCCAAGGCTCACCTGTGGTATTGCTGACAGAGGAGAGCACCCATGCCGGGCAGTAAATAGAAATTCCATGTTTTCTCTGTTGAAATGATGACTTCTTTATTTTCCAAGTTGTCTTTCCCAGTTTCCAGCTTTGCCATCTGTTGGAGGTACTGGTGAGGAAAACTTGAGTCCCCAGAGCTTTGCGTGGAGAGACAGGCTCAGTGCTGTCCCCTCCCACCAGGGGCTGCTGCAGACATTCCCAAGGCACCCCGGCACACTGGTGGTCTGTGCTTTGGAGCTCTCTGCCCCATAACGCCCCACAGCTGCAGGGGCAGCACTGTGGGGCTGTGGAAATCCCGTGGGCTGTGCTCCTTCCCTGTTTTTTCCAGTCCCCAACTAAGGAGACGGCTGCAACATCTGTCCCCCTGCAGCAAAGTAATTTATTAACTGATTAATTAGCCAGATAAAATCCAACTGAAGCAATTATTAGCCTTAGCAAGCCACCTCGCCTGGAGATTGAAAACTGAAATAATTAGCAAAATGGCCTTGTTGCGTGTCAGGGGTTGTTTTTGGCTGATCCCTGCTTCTCATTGGCAGCCCTCGCTGCCCCGGCACAGGGAGGGCTGGGAGGGGGCGTGTGGGGCTGTGGGATTCCTAACCTGGGGACTTCTCTCAGGCTGCCTGGACTGTCAGCTAGCTGGGAAAGAGCCAGCAGCTGGACAGGATGGGGAGAGACACCGTGGGATCACCCAGCTGCCTGCCAGTTCACAGGGCCTGGGAGAGGCTGGGCTGGGGCGGGAGGCTGTGCCCAGGCAGCTTGTCAGGATGCTCCCCTTGCATTCCAGGGTGGCCCCTTTGCTCTTTAGGATGCTGCCTGGCTTTTGTGGGCTTGTTGGACCCGTTGAGACTGAGAGAGATCCCTTGGCAGCTGGGCAAGGAGCTGGGGAGCAGGGCAAAGCCTGTTGGAAGGAGTCCCTGTGCTGGCTGCCTGGTGGGGTGCTGGGAAAGAAATCCTTGTGGTCTGCCTACGCCTTGGAGCTGGGCCAAGAGTCCTCCCACGTCGCGTCCCACTGGGCTGTTTTCTCCGGCTGTTGAATCCATAACTTCAGACCCCAGGACATGGCCAGGTGCCAAGGCCGGGGTAATGGAGCCAAACTGCGTCACAAAGGGAGGAAAAGGTCCTGAAGTGCTGGGATGAAAAGGTGACCAGGGTACTCACTGTTCCCTGCTGGCACAGCCGCCTTGCACCGCTATCAGGGCTGGGGGGCCCTGGGGGAGGAGATGCTCTGGTCCCCTCTGCCACTGGCCTGGGAGGGAGAAGAGGGGCACAGAGGGAGGATGTGGCTCCCTTGGAGCAGTGTCCCTGCCCAGGCAGTGCTGGCACAGAGCTCTGACAAGCCCCCAGCACTGCCCATACTCTCTGTGCCTGCTGTCCTTGTGGTGCCACCTTCACCCCATGGCTGCTGGCCTGCCACTGACCGCTGCCCAGAGGGGCTTGGGAGGCTGCATCCAAGTCCTGCTGCTTTCCCAGTCCACAACAGAGTTCTCAGCCTCTTTGCTGTAATACACTCCAATCTTTCAGCATTATCCAAAGGAAGAAATCTTGTGCCCAATGTGACTGTCACCTCCGGAGGACCTGGCAGCATCATGGGGCGTCTCTCAAGAGCCTTGTGACTCAGGTGTCCCTTCCAGTGTCCCCATTCCCTTCACCCCTTCTGATGGCTATAGCCCAGCTCCCGCTCTTGGCAGGAGTGTGTTGCAACACACCCAGCATGCCAAGTCATCCAGAACCTGTGGGGTTGATGGATAACCTGGTTTCCCCCATTGCCACCCCTGAGCCCTCTCCCAGTGCCCTTGCCAGGAGGCTGGAGGGGAGCCAGTAGGAGATGCTGTGTTCTCCACAGGACTGGAACAACCAGCCCATTAATTCCAGGAAAGCTGATAAGGCACTGTGCTGGGCCATGCTCTGCCATGCTGGACGGTGCAGAGCCCCTGGCTGCTGGGATTCATGGAATTGCCCCCTGGCTACGGGCTCCTGAAGGGCTCCAGTGCCCACATGATGCTTTGGTCTTTGGTAATAGCAGATTAATGACTTTTACAGGAACCAGTGCTTTTCCAGGACCTGGTTTCAGACACAGCAAAAGATCAATAAGAAGCCCCTTCCCAGAGTGGTAGCAGGGTACTGTCCTCAAGATGGGACATCCCTTGGTGGCTCAGGGCTTTCTTGGGAGGGTGTGCCAATGCCTGAGCAGAGGCATGAGTTTTGTTTGTCAGCCCCGTGACTCTGATGGGAGATGGGCATTTCTGGGGCACAGCACGGGCAGCAGTTTCAGGCACAAATGTCTCCAGACAGTGCTGGCCTCTGTGGAGCACAGACAGGAGCTTGCAGGCAGGCTGGGGCCAGCCCCTTGCTTCAGCCGAGTTGTTTTCCTCTATGCTGAGCAGCATGTTTGCAACAATCCCTGTGGTTCCCACCACATTTTGCACCTCAAACACCATCTGGAGCAACACTCCCCAGCGTCAGCACGTATTCCCTGTTAGGGTTGCTTTCCAAAGTGATACAGCATCGTCAGCACGGGCAGGAACCACTCTCCCACGGCAGGTTTGCATCTCTCAAATCCTCCATCAGCCCTGGTGTGGTCATTGCTCAGGTGGTCGCTGATGGGTCAGCCACCCCATGATCTGCAGTGCTGGTTGCAAGACCCCCAGCGCACTGTCCCCCCAGCTTTACACGTTTTGGTGGGCGGGTGTTTAGTTCCAGGTGAGCGGTGCTCCCCCGGTTTACGGTCTGTGCCGGTTCCCCGGCCGGGGGTGCTGCGTGGGTTTTACAGGACGGGGTTTCTCAGCCGTGACTTGGCCTCCCCCGGCGTTTCCCCATCCGCAGGGCCCGCTGCTGGCTCGGGGTGTCACTTGACGTGCTGCCTGCCCGGCTCCAGCGGGACACCGTGTACTGCCTAACACCCCTCATAACACTTTGCAGGAGTTGCCTGGGGGCATTTCTGGTTAAGAAGTGTTTAATTGACTACAAAACCATGTAGTGGTGGGAGTTTGCATAATGCTGTTCACAGGGGAGCTGGCAGCAGTTTTCAAGGGGGTGTGTAGGAATTGCTGCTCCAGGAGGAGGAGGGGGGTGAGACATAGGGGAAGTGACTTGGGGGATCCCAGCAGCAGGGAAGGGGGTCTGGGTCTGTTCCTTTTCCTGCTCCATCCTCTGGGGATGCTGGTCCAACCTTGCAGAGAAGCTTCCCTGGACCATTTACCCCCTCCCAGCACCCCAGCACTGCTGTGCCCAGACTGAGGTGCAGGTTTCCAACCCCACAGCAGCCCAGGGGTGCTGGGGCTCTGAAGAGGGATCCCCAGTGCTCCTCCTTACAGCTGAGCACTGTGGAGCTCAGCTGACACGCCAGGGCCTCACCCAGCCATGCTTCTCCCTGCTTTATAACCTGCCTCTGCTCTGGGGGACCCAAGTGGAGACCTGTGTTCTGCCTTGCTCTGGGCTGAGACACAGCTCAGCTGGTGATTTTAGTGTCCTCACAGGCATGGTGACACCAGCTCTGTCACCACCACACACTGCTCTGTGGCCCCATACTCTGCATGTGGAGTGGGGTCTGTGGGGTGACTGCCATGGGGAACAGGTTGTGTGGGATCAGTGGGGTGACTGCCATGCCACTGTTGGCAGTGCCACACACAGCTCTGGGCTCAGCTTCACCTTTTGGTGCTGCAGCCCAGGGAGCTGCACCAGGCTGAGCCCAGGAGAGAACCTGGGGAGATGTGGGTCCCTGCAAGGTGGGCTTTGGGTACACCCAGCCCATGCTCCAGCTGGACAGGGCACCCAGCCCTTGGGAAGGGGAGGGCTCAGCTGGAAGGGAAGGGTGACAGGGACAGTTGGAGGGAAGGGACCGGGGGCGGGAGAGGACGTCGGCAACCTGCCTCCTTCTGCCATCCCTATAAATAGGAGGGAGCAGGAGCAGGAGCACCTGTGGGACTCCAGCTCTGCAGGAGAGGCAGGCAGGGAGGGACGGAGGGAGCTGCTCCTTGCTGCTCTCTCCTCCCTTTGAGCTTCCTAGTGCTCTGCCTGTGTGGAGGCCTGAGGCATGGGGACCAGGGGATGGACGCTCTCCACCTTGCTGGGATGCTGCGCATGGATTCTGCACGGTATGTCCTATATTTTTCTGCTGGCCCATGTGCTACCCGAGCCCTGGCAGGGTGCAGCAGGTACACTGTGAGATGCTTTTCACTCTTGGCTGCACTGGAAACTCCTCTTACGACCAGTCCTTGCAAGGCATTGCAGCCAAAGATCTGGAAAAGCATTTTACAGGGCAGGCATCACCCTGAGGGGCTGCTTGCAGGCGTGGAGCCGTGGGAGAGGTGAGAGCCCAGCCTGGAAGCCTGCAGGCAGCTCTGTACCCCTCCAGCAAAGAAACCAAGGGAAGCCAGCTGGCAGAGCAGGACCCAGGGATGTTCCCATCCCTCCCACATCCCAGGGAAGAGCAAATGCTGGTGCTCCATGCTGCTCTTACACAAACTTCCCATGAATGGGTGTGTGGGGTAGATGGTGTTTCCTGCTCCAAATTGAAGAATTAAGATAAAACAGTGATTTACTGGGGCAAGTGGGCCAAACTAAACTGGGGTGACTTGACTGATGTACTTTGTTTTCCCTGAGATGGGGATGGAAGCTGCTGAGCTCCTTTGGCTGAGGGGCTGGTACAAAGAGCCTTTTCCAGCCAGAGAAGATGACACTGAAGCAGCCTGGCAGGAAAGGGAATGTGGGTCTAGCAGAGGATGGACCCCTCGAGGACTGGTCTGCCACGGGAGCTAATATTCATTAATGACCCTGCACAAGCTATCTGGGAGCTAACGAGCTGAGCTGGCGGTGAGGTTGGAGGCACCTCTGCTGCAGGGAGATCTGGTTGTCTGTCAGGGGGAACCTGATGAACTGGAGCACCGGGATTGGGAACAGGCTGGGGCTGTCAGGCTGTGGCAAAGCCCTGCTGGATCTTGCCATCGGGGTGCCCTTCTTCTCCCCTAATTGAAGCTCCTTAAAGCCAAGCGTCAGCAGATCCACCCGGCTCCTCACGGAGCCAATGGTGGCAGCTTGGTCACCCCAGAGCCTGTGTTCCTGTCCTAAAAATAAGACCGTGTGCAATGTCACCCATGGGTGCCAGGAGGTTCTGGGAGACATGTTTGGGATATGGGCAGGCATCTCCTCCTTTCAGCAGAGCTCCTGGATGTGGGTTAGGATTTGGGCAGCAGGAGGAGAGAGCTCTAAGAAGGGCTTGGTCCTGGGAGCTTGCAAATATTTCCTCCATGGGTGGGGAACCCCTGGTGCCTTCACTCAGCTGGAGGCAAGAGGGCTGGGGCAGGAGCAGGCAGGCGCCCAGCCCAGGAGAGTTTTATTGAACCTGCTTTAAGTGCAGCAGATCAGAATCCATCTGCAGTCAGGGAAGTCTTCCCTAAGCCTTGGCTTTCCTGTCTGACAAAGGGCTTTGTGTAAAGTTATTTAAATGTCCCTCAGACACCCAAAAGGTGAAAAAACACGGAACCC